GCTCTCCATACGAAACACACAATGGAAGATCTTACCACCGTATTCACAAATGACATTTAAGTTTTGCGATAATAACGCCCCTTACAAGTATTAATTACAGGTCGTGTAGACCATTGTTGCGTGATTTATAGCAAAAACTTCACTTTTACACGTTGATAACGATATGCCCTTTTATAGATCTCATATCTTAGAGGTGTATCATTTCAAACAAAAATCCTAGAATACCTAACACATTTTACCATACCGTGCACTTATTCATTTTGCAATTCAACTTTCAACTTCTAAACTTTTCAACTTTAACTTTTCTTGAAAAAATAAATCTTCCAGATTTGTTGAATTTTGCAGAAATTCCGGCATCCCCTCCTCCGTTCATTCTATGCGATCATATGGTGATTCTTTATCTAACGCTCGAGAGAGAATGCTGTGTTGATCACGACTTAGCTGATGAATAAGGATATGCGGTGTTAGACGGAGTTGTCCTAGGTTTCCTGAAGACGTACTCTTTTGTAAAAAAATCTGCCTAACATAATCTATGTTCTGAATTAAAAGAACCGTATTTGGAAAATATTGTCTTCATATTTATTTTAACGCTAAATGCGTCTGCGACCAAGAAAGGGGCCTTCCTGGTCGAAAGTGCAACTTTACCTTTACTTGTAGAACACATTTAGTAAGAATGTTTATTTCAACTTTTGTTTACTGATTTGCGATGCCAGACTGTCGTGGCATGTTATACAATACAGGACAACACAATAACAATACAACATCAAGGCAAAGGACGAATTTCGGTTTGGAGAACGAAGTTCATCAATCTAAATGAGCATTATCCCTGCTTCGGACAAATTTGATTTTTTTTACATCATATAGATTTGAATGTCTTCTTTTGAATAGTCATAATTTAATTTGGGTAATATTTCTAGATGTTTCACAAAAAAATATTAGCGCAGTACACTGATGAACTTTTTTCCCCAAATCGAGACTTGTATTTTATTGAATCAGTCTAATTGAGCGTTATCCCGGCTTCAGACCAATTTGTTATTTTTACATCTTGTAGATTTAAATGTCCTCTTTTGAATATTCATAATTTAATTTGGGTAATATTTCTATATTTTTCATGAAAAAAATATTAGCCCAGAAGACTGTTCTCCAAACCGAGAATCATCCTTTCACCTTCTCTCTATGATCTCTTTAGTAAAACTAATTTTCAAAGATGACGCGAATAAAACTGTTTTTGTTATATTGCTATCATGAAATACATGGCAAAAGTCGTCGACTCCGATTTTATTGACGAAGTGCTTCGAGAAACAGAATTTGGAAAATCGTGGACAACATCGTAGAGAACAAAAATCGTCAATCCGCGAATAGTAATTGACGATATTTTCTGAGAAACGAATGCACTCATAGCGCACTTATTGCACTTAAATCGTAAATCATGAAAATAACGGCATAGTGGAGTTCTAATGGGGTTCATCGTATTTAGCTATAAGCCTATTTTGAAATCATACATGGTCCACTGGCGGATCCAGACCAATACCCCCCCCCCCTTCCTGGGCTTAGAAAAAAATTGTAGGGCCCGAAAAATTGTTTTTCTCAAAAATTACATAGGGCCTCGAAAATGGGCATTTTGGCCATAATTTGGCCTTTTTAGGTCAAATGTTCAAAACATGGGCCGTAGATTTTCATCTGGATCCGCCAATGTGGTCAAAGTTGTAAATTTAAAAAGGCCAAATAATTGCAACATTGAAAGTGCATGCAACTTATCAACGTACACGTCTCCTGGAGTGAAACGTGTTGGTATAAACTATCCAATGTTGCACATAGAACACATACATAATACAAAAGAATGCTGGGATTGAAATTATATCGTAGTGTAAGCCAATTTACTGACTGGATTACTCAGTTGGAGTAACAATTCCCGGGGAAACTTTCCCGGGGACAGATAACTATTCCCTCTATTGACTAAACTAGGTACTATAGTTCACTCCACCTTTTGAAAATAACTAACTCATATATATATTAAAGTACTTGTACGTTAATAGTACAAGGGCAATATATAGGGGTTATGCACTGGGAGGTTTTGGATACAGGGAATATCCCGAGGGATATACAATATATCTTCCCGGGGGAAGATGTATTGTAAATCCCAAGGGATATTCCATGTATCCAAACCGACCGTGCATAACTGGTGTATCTCATACTTGAGTGGGTTTAGGGTAGATATAACCTTTTCCACCTTTTTCAAATGACAAGATATTTATATTTAACATTTTCGTAATATTCTTTTTGTTCAATACAATGAAATTGTAACATTTAAACTTAAAAAGTTTAAATTTTAAAATTAAAAAATTAAAACTTTTGATATTTAAACTTTTTTAAACTTTTGAAAAATTCCCGGGAGCGGGATGGATATTTTATATCTGCCCGCATTTGGCCTGGAGCGGGACATATTGTAATCCTGCCCGCTCCTCAGATATGATATATTTCCGAGTGATATCTACCCCAAACCCACTTAAGTATGAGATACAGTGAAATATTAGTGTTTCCCCGATATACTGGGAACGTACATTAGAACTGGCCCGGCAAGGTGGTAATAATGCATATTATCGTATGATCCGAAAAATGAAGCCCTCTGATTGGTCAGTTCTTGTGATGTAGCAATCTGTATTGCTACTTAGATTGTCCCCATTGATCATCTCCGGAGCAATACAGAAAATATTGGTACGGAGGGGACAATCTCAGTTGCAATACAGAGAATACAAAAAGTCCTTAAGGATCACCTCCTAGTAAAATTTACTGGCCTAAGATTACAAGATAAAAACGTTATAGACTGATTTGAAGTGCAATACAGGATATATTCTGCTCTCAGTATTCTGTATTGGCACTCGACTTCGTCTCATTCCAAAAGAGAATTTCTCGAGCAGAATATATCCTCTCCTCTAAATTGGTTTTACAAATAACCGTATAACATTTATTTTCTTTATATACCTTGCAGACTAATGCTATGATAAGAAAGTCATATTGGAGCAAACTCAACTGGGCAAATAAACACTTCCAAAGAAAATCATACCCAGAAAAGGAGTATTTTCTGGACTTTTCAAAGTTTATAAAATAATATAAATAATATTCATAGTGTCCATATAATTTATTTTTACATTTTTCCATATAATGGGATGATTATACAGGTTGAGCAATACTAAATATAAGTCAAGCATCAATGTCAAGTACAGGGTGTTCCAAAATTATGAAGGAAGGGGCTGAATCTGTCCTTTTACTTTTGGGACCCCATGTATGTACCCCCTCTAAACCCCTCTCTATCATATGGCTTTGTAAGAACTGAGATGGCATCAGGGTTATGTACAGCCTCTTGTTGCACGATCATACACTAATGGACAATACAACTCTACATTTAAGTCTAACAGCCACTCTACTGCAAATGTGATAAAAGAACACCCACCATAAAGTACAGTCAAACCTGTAAAGTGAAACGCCTTTTTAAAGATGCAGTATACCAAAAATTTCTCTCCCGGACAATCAATGATGTCCCACTACTATTGCTTATACAATGAATATGCAGTACAACTCAATATGGAAAATCAATGGAGGGGGTCTTGATTGTGATCTCCTATCGTATAGGGCCACCTATCTGGAACACCTCAATAAGTAGGAACATTTTTCAGAATTCTTTGACTGATTAACTTAATCTTAAATGCACTTGTCTGGGATATCTCCAAAGTGGAACATTTTTAGAAGTGCCAAAGGTGTTCCACTTATATAGGTTTTACTGCAGAAGTACACAATGCCATAAAATGATGAATTAATGAAAACCAAGTGATGAGTACAACTCCCGAAAATCAAAAAAAATTAAGCCCAAAATAATTCAAAAATACCCTAGCTGCTAGCCATGCAGATTTACTAGGTTTGATTGGCCGACACTATAGACTATACTACCCCTACATAATAATGTTTAATATCTCGGAATATTGCTCTTTTGGCTCTTGGATCTACAGCTCTGTTTAATATAATGCATACTGCATAAAGTATACAATAGTATTAAGTTATGTAAATACATGGTACAATGACTACAGTTCATCACTATAAAATATTAAACATGTAAAAAGAGATAATCGCTTGCATATGTTTTGTTAAAAATCAATTTGGTGTATAGAAATACAGAGATACTAGTATAGAAAACAGCAATTCAAAGTACAGCATTAAATTACATGATAAAGAAATACATATCAAATACCATGGAAGCATCAGTACAAAAATATACATCTACAGATTTACAATATCAGAATTACAATGAATGGTTGGATATATTGTAAATCTAACCCCAATACAATAAGTGTGCTGGTGTGGATAGGTGACTTTTACATGTCTATCAAATAATTATGACTGTAAGTACGGATGCAACATAATCATTTCTTGTATCTACATCTCTATTGTCAAGGTTTAGTGTGGTGATATCTGGTGATACATCTGGTGATAACTAACAGTGAAGCTGCATCAAACACCCTGCCTTAAGTCCCAAATTTCATAATAGTTTTGTTATCAGTAATATAACTGGCAGTAAATTTGTGTTGTTCTGAAGAAGGCAAAACACACATTCCATAAAGCTGTACAGGACTTTGTAGAAATATTTTTTTGCATAAGTTTTTTTCATCACATTTTTGTTCGGAGTGCTTCATTAGAAAATGTCACTTTTATGCGTGTCAACATATGGTCAGGAATACAGTTGAAGATTTATTCAAGATTTTGTATTTGAATATGGCAACAAACAGTGTTATGTTGATTCGTATTTCACTTAATATTAACATTTCAAAGAATTTCATATTTCATCAAATTGGCAAACAACTTACGTGTTATGTGTAGCCAATACAGTATGTCGATATATTTAAAGGAATTGCTATGATCAATAGTCATTTTAGAGATGTAAAATTCTATCTTAAGAAATAAACAAATCATTAGATTTGTTGATCAACTCATCTAAGCCAAATATCAAAAATTAGAAGATTTGTTTAGTATAACCTTAAATATGGCATTAACATGCAAAATGTCACCACCTACCATTTGTTACAGATGCCGAATGTCAGATGCCAACCACCATCACAAAAAAAGTTGAAGAGCATAACAATAAGTCACCACTTTCGGTGGTGACATAAAAGATACAATTTATAAATCATCTCTAGGTTTGAAATCTCAGATTTCTCCCCTACTGGCAATTCAGATTACTAATAAGAACTAATTTCTAAACTAATTACTCCCTAACGCATATAATATATTAACCCTCATTCATGGTAGTACTATGTTTTCATTTTAAGTACTTGGGAGACTTTACTCTTATCTTCAAATAGGTTCCTAATCATGAGCACTTGTATAACGCCAACTGTTATCATAACTGCCAGGTTGATTCCTGACCAGGTGTTGACACGCATGAAATTGTCCTCCATAATTGAGCGATCTTGGGCCTCGTATATCTTGAATATATTTTGTAGCTGCTCTGTTTTTTGTAAGTTCTTTTTTAAGATATCCATTTTTTCCTGGAACACAGAAAAACAAGTCATTGTTAGCTGCAGCGTAGCCATGATAGCCTCCAGATAGTAAATTGATTGTATAACTTCTATTGATTTCTATCTTAAATCATTATTTTTTGATTCAATAGAAGAGTTTCTAAATAGCTTTGAAATCTCTTTTTTCATGCTATCTTAAGAGATTTGCACTTTTTGCCTCTAATGACTTACCTTTCTTGTTTTTTAATAGCATATTTGAATTCAGTGAAAAGTTTTCTTCAATAATAGCTTTGATTCACACAGTTATGTCACTTCAATCATTTTCCATGACATTTTAAAAGAACTTGGGCCAAATCTACATTGATGCAATGCTAAAAGCAAATCACAGACAAACAAGAGAGACATCTATAATGTAAGCTTAATTCAGCTATATAGAAACTATACTATTGTACACAATCTCTGGTCACCATTGAACTAAGTTCATATTTTAATGGTGTTTTATACAGTATAACTTTGTATTCATAATTCCCATTAATAATTTACCTTTGTATTTCTGATGAAGTTACAAAGCTGCTTTAGTTTCTCAAATAATGAAATATTGTTGCATAGACAGGATGAGGCAGACAAGGTGCTTGCCTTGTATCTTTTTACCAGATTTTGAAATATTTTTCACCTTGTCGCTTTTTTCTTCCTGGCTGTCGCCACTGGCTAGTATTGCATCAATTTTTCAGAAAACTTTTTAAGTACAGTGATACTTTTCTAATCCAAATACCACTTGGAGTGGCCAAAAGTGTTTAGACTGGCAGGTGTTCACATGTTGAGGTTGTGAACATGGATGTTTATGGTAAATTGAAAAATGGGACTGAAAAAAAGTGTTCGCATATTGAGAGTTGTTCAGAGTATTGATTTCTTCCGGAATACATATATTTCTACATATCTTATGTCTGAGTGACATGACTATTCAATAGCGACCTCTTTTTGAATGCCTTGTGTGCAATTCTCATATTGTACAATGACTAGCTAGTATATAGCAATGGATTGATGAATGCCCAATGCCATAGAATAAGACTTAAAATAAATAACTGTGATCATTTGGAAGTACATGCTGGACATTACTTTTTGAATGGGGTCAATTTTCCTTGGAATTTGATGTAGAGGAAAATAAGAGCTTGAACAGTTTTCAAAAGCACTTCAAAAAATACTGATTGAATACAGAGTAGCTCAGAGTTATAGATGTTCTGATAGGAGTATAGCACTATTATGTAAATGGGAACCCTCTTTCTCTGGCCATACCTTGAATACTTCTAGCTTAACCTCCATCAGCTCCTCTGCTCCTGTAAGTTCATCCCAGCTTTGAAGTTCATCTTCCGACTCCTCATCTGTTATCAGTTCAAAGAAAACCAGCTTCTGAGAAAATCGACTAAATGTGTTGTCGAGACATAGTGTGTACTCCCCTGTTTCGGTTGACTCGTGCCTGGAAGCAAAAGTACAGTAAACCATGTAGAAGTATAACAAATTTAATAGACTAGTGCCTGGAAGCAGAACAAAGTACAGTAAACCCTGTAGAAGTATAACAAATTTAGTAGACTATTGCCTGGAAGCAGAACAACATACAGTAAACCCTGTAGAAGTATAACAAATTTAGTAGACTAGTGCCTGGAAGCAGAACAAAGTACAGTTAACCCTGTAGAAGTATAACAAAGGACGATTCTCGGTTTGGAGAACAGTCTCCTGGGCTAATAATTTTTTTCATGAAAAATATAGAAATATTACCCAAATTAAACTATAAATATTCAAAAGAGGACATTTAAATCTACAAGATGTAAAAATAACAAATTGGTCTGAAGCAGGGATAACGCTCAATTAGACCGATTCAATAAAATACAAGTCTCGATTTGGGGAAAGAAGTTCATCAGTGTACTGCGCTAATATTTTTTGGCGAAAAATCCAGAAATATTACCCAAATTAAATTATGATTATTCAAAAGAAGACATTCAAATCTATATTATGTAAAAAAAAATCAATTTTGTCCGAAGCAGGGATAATGCTCATTTAGATTGATGAACTTCGTTCTCCAAACCGAGAATCGTCCTTTGGTACATCAAAATAGCATTCCAGTTGGGAGGTACTCCACATACATAACACATGTCCATTTTTCCTTAAGTTGGTAGATAACTGGACTTAACTGGATAATACAAACATGTAGTTTCACTGACTTATTTCACATGTTACACTAGCTATTACATAATCACATATTCAAGAATAATTACTCAATGTATTCTGATATCAAACCCTGTTTGTTCATTTAATAAGTATTTCTATATAATTATTTAGAGTGTAATCCTTAGTTGCAGTTCATGCTATGAAACATTGAGATGAAACCAAAATCTTCATTATTGATCATTCTATTGGGAATGTAAATCTAGACCTGATTGTTTATTGGTCATGCTGTGCGTTCTCTTTATGTGTGATATTTATATTTGTGTATTGTTATTTATTGTAGCTTTTGATACTATTCTTGTAACAACTGAACAAATAAAAAAAATGTTAGAAATGTAAACAATTCTATGATTTTATTGATTATTGTGAAGATGAGGTGTTTCTGATCTTAGAAACAATTATTTGATATTGACATTAAAATGAGATATTTTTGAAATGACATATTCATTAAACTAGACCCTTCCATAGGATTCCTGGGGGTTTTAACAAAAAAACTAAAAATCGACAACTCGACAACTCAACATAGTAGCAAATCCCAACGAACACTATATTTATCAATCTGTGTAATCACAATGAAATATATACCATCGAATATACTAGAGGTGTCACAGATACCTGATTTTGTTCCGACCCGCGGAATAATGCTCTCGGAACGGAACAAAAATTAAACATTTCGGTTCGGGAACAAAAAAATCTTACCCTTTTTGAGCTTGTGGCCCATAAATTCACAAAACAGTGTTTTTTCAATATTTTGCATTCATTCTTTTCACTCCTTCTAATTGAAGAGTTTTGAAGAGCTTTTCTCTACTAAATAAACCTAGACGATCAACTTATTTTATTCTAATGCATGCAGTCACTTCTCCGAACTGTTCTGAAATTGTTCCGAAGCAAAATGTTCCGAACCAAAACATTCCAATTATTTGTTCCGTGACATCTCTATAATCTACCCTTGATTTGCAGATGAGTATAATGGAAGATATACAAGGTGGGCCAATAAAAATTGGAATATTTTTTATTTATTCAATTTTCATTGTTATTGCAGGTCAGTCCTCAAAAATTCAGATAATGGTAAAATGATTATTTGTGAAAATGTTCAAGATAAAAATACGAATGTATAATTATTATTTTGGCTTGTCATGGTCAAGATCTGCATACTGCATTTGTCACAGAAAATTTCCAAATCTTTCATCATTCAAATCTTCTTTTCAAATTTTATGAAAACGCAAATTGCCAAAATGGCCCTCCTATCAAGTAGAGTAACAGTATGTGATATGACTAGCCACTATATCCTATTGTTTCTAAGTGAAATTTCTCAGTCAAATACTAGCCCATGCCATTGACTCGTTCAACTAGTTTAAATTGATTTGGTATGACATTAGTGTTCCTCTTATATTAGTCATCATTTTTTTTCCATCACACCTCATCTCTTTTTCATTTCCCCAGTCGCCTCCACTATCAATTCCCTGTTTACTCCCCCACCGAGACAATATGTAACGTACCTGTGTATACCATCTGTACGTCTTATTTCTGTTAGTATGACTTTGCCTGATGGAGATGACAGGACAAAGTTGATGTCAAGGTCACCACCTTCCACTACCTGTAAACATATATATGTAGAATTTTGAAGTCAAGTAGCGTCGCAATGTAATGGTGCAAGAATTTTTTCGATTAGGTAAGGAGCTCTGAGAAAGAGCAAAAAGTAGATCTAAAGATTTGGAGTTTTTCAGACTCTCAACCAACCAACTCAGCCAAGTCACCTCTGGGCCAGTGACAGATATATAAATAAAGGGCCAAAGGTTACTTCCTGCGAAAGCTATGTGGATTTTGATATAATAGCTTTCCCACGGCGCACTTGGACAGCTGAATAATAGTGACCTTCAAAACATGAATAAAGATTTCCGCGGCTTACTTTTGGTTTCTTACTGTGTCTTACATCAGTATCATCAATCCTTGCAAGTATTGGAGCGTTGAAATACTTCTTTTTCGATCAAGACTTGTAAATTGTTCATTGAGACGTGAATGTTTTTTTGACCCATTTCCAATATGGTGGTTTGCTAGGAGTGAGATACGCAATGAACGAAATGAATTTTGAGAATGAGTCGGGTTAGGAACAACCTCCGGAGATTTATGAAAATGTCCGAGCAGAAAACACCATATTGGAATTTGGCTGAAAGTCTGAAAGAACATTCACTCGACTAACAATTACAAGTCTTGATCGAAAAGGAAGTACTTTAGCGCTCAAATACTTGCATGGAAGGATGATTATGATGTATGACACAGAACAAAAGTAAGCCGCGGATCGACTAATAGTACAATAACGTCACACAATAACGTCACACATTTCTCAGGTCGATATAGTAAAATGAATGCCTTCTAAACTAGCACTAAAACCCCTAGAACTGGCCCGGCAAGATGGTAATAATTCGTGTTTCAAATGTCACTATTACTCAGCTGTCCATTTCTCCGTTGGAGAGCCATACGTTTCAAATCTAACATGGCTCTCGAAGTGAGTAAGCCAGAGGTGCATTATGCGCCTAGGTCTTACAAGTTACCTGATATTCAAGCTCGATGTTGACTCCTTCATTGACATGTTGGTAAAAACACTCCCGACCTGCTGCCTTCACAACTACAGTGAAATCTGCTTCTATGCATTCACATATTTTAAATATACAGGCAAGCAATATAACGATGCTCAATTGAGCCCAATATAGACCTAATTTCATACTTTCATGAGTATAAAGGGAAAGTTTTCAAAAAGTTAAAATTTTTGTAACCGGAAATGAATCCACGCAAGACCGGAACTACATTGTTTGTTAAAAGATTATAAACTTTTTAAGAGAACAATTTGTGTAAATTTCACATATATCCGTCATCATAAAAATAAAGAAATCTGCTGTTGTTGGTTCTTGAATTTTAAAAAAGTATCACGGATAATCGGTGAATTACGTTTTGGCTTGAGACGTGACGTCAGATTTTAAGGTGCACTACCTATTTTGCATATAAAAATGCGCACAAGAATATGAAATTATTTAATAGGTAAATATCACTTTTTAGCGTTTGTTTTTCAAATTCATGTTTGGTGTATCTTATTTTCATTGACACTCTATGCTAATGTTAAGTCTTTTGTTATTTAATAATTTAAAATCATCATATTTACGCGTATGAATTCAAGCACCTTGCAAGTGAGACATCCCTTGTAAAGCTGCCTTATTTTCTGTGCGAACATTGGTCAGAATCATTCACAAAAATGTTTAGTAGGTAAAGTTTTTACACCTGTTTACATTATTATAATAGCTCAATATGTGGACACGAGTTGTTTAAAGTTTTTTAAAGTTATTAGATAATCTTCCTCGTCATTTTTTTCTAATTCAACATTTTATGTTCTCAAATGACCATGGTCCATTTTCTTTCACTGGTTGATGATCTTGGTTGGGACAGCTTCAGAGACAAAATGTAAACAATAGGTGTTATCCCATCATGATTTATTAATTCCAGGTAAATGGTGATGTTATAAACAATGGATGTTACGAGCACAAGTGAGAGCCATGCGACTGAATCCATGGAATCGACTGATGCCCATTTCCCATCCTACCAAACCATGTCCCTGGCAGGAATTGGACAGATGCAGAATCCTGATATGTACTCCGTCTCAGAGCACAACCAATCAGAGGTGCAACATGTGGTTGAGCCCTCATTTACTGTTTCGTCAAATGATGATATTCAAAATCAGCCACTGCCACATACTTCTCAGTTTGACCAACTAAGCCATTCCCAAATGCACTTTGAGAGATTTGAGAACGAAGATAACCAAATTTTAGACAATTCCAATCTTGAAGATGACATTGCAAAACCTCATGATATAATGACATCTTATGAAAACAACATCAATCAACCACAAATAACAGATGATAACTTTTATAACTCAAATGATCCAATGCAAAGTAATTCTGAGAATGTAGATTCATCTGTGACTTCACATAGTGAGATTGCGCAACAGCTTTTGTACGGTCAACCTGTTTCCCAGCAACAAACGATGGCATCATCAATGACAGGTCTTAAAGCGCTACTTATTAGCCCGAAACAAAGAATAAGGCGACCCAAAGAAAAACCAAAGCCTCAGTCTAACTATGAGTTAGAACAAGCGTATCGCATTTTACGTGAAATCATGCATGAGAATAACAAATCTGTTAATTGGCCTTTCATGGATGAGGTAGACGTTCAAAAATATGGACTATGGGATTACCATGAACGAATACGTAAGCCAATATGGCTCAGAAAAAGTGAGTGATTCATTATTATACATTATTACCACCTTGCCGGGCCAGTTCTAGGGGTTTTAGTGCTAGTTTAGAAGGCATTCATTTTACTATATCCACCTGAGAAATGTGTGACGTCATAGTGGTGGTCCATATTGACCGGTCTAGAATATATTCTGGACCGGCAATTTTTCCCTGGGAAAATATATATCGTTCAGTGCGTAAGATTTTCTTGCTGTTTCAGTCCTGGTCGTTAACGGTGGTAATAACGTCATTTCTGCGAGCAATATAGTGAAATATTGGACCTTGGGCCTTCGGCTCTCGGTCCAATATTACACTCGGCCCTCGGTCCAATATTACACTATATTGTCCTTAGAAATGACGTTAATGTTCTAATAAACCTAGTTGAGCACCTTCACAAAAAGGTAAAGGAAATGATATTTCAACATTTTGATTGAAATGTTTTGATTTTGAACAATGAATTTAACCATGTTGTTACTTTTGTCCATCTCGTACATGTATATATTGACATCATTTGAAAAATATTAATTGTCTATTTACTTGCAGTGAAGGAAAAATTTGAAAATCTGGGGTACACATCAATTACTGAGTACATATCTGATATGCGACTAATGCTAGAGAACTGTTATCGATACAATGGCCCCGATCATGTGATTTCTAAAAGAGGTCAAAAACTTGAAACGATTCTTGAACAGAAGTTGACTTTGCTATCAAGGTAAATAATCTGCTTTTATACATTTTCTGTTTTGGTAATTAGTTTTATAACTTATCAACCACTTTTTATACTCTCCTAATACTCCCATGCAAGTTCTTGGTAAGAGTGTCTGCTAAACCATAATTGACATCTTCAAAGAAAAAGCAAACTGACATTTAAGTTTAGCTAGTTTTTAGTTGGGCAATTCATAATTCTGATCTTCATTAATCTGATTTTCACCAATCTGATCTTCATCAGTCTGAATTTCATCAATTAGATCTTCATCAATGTGATCTTCATCAATATTATCTTCATTAATCTGATCTTCATCTGTTAAATCTTCATCAATCTGATCTTCACCAATATAATCTTCATTCATGTGATCTTCATTAATCTGATCTTCATCAATTTGATCTTCATCAATCTGATTTTCATAATATAACCTTCATCAATCTGATCTTCATCAGTCTGAATTTCATCAATTAGATCTTCATCAATATTATCTTCATTAATCTGATCTTCATCTGTTAAATCTTCATCAATCTGATCTTCACCAATATAATCTTCATTAATGTGATCTTCATTAATCTGATCTTTATCAATTTGATCTTCATCAATCTGATCTTCATCAATTTAATTTTCATCAATCTGATCCCCATCAATCCAATCTCCATCTATGTGATCTTCATCAACCTGATATCCATCAATATAATCTTCATCAATGTGTTCTTAATCAATCTGTTCTTCATTAATTAGATCCTCATCAAGCAGATGCAAGTTCCATATGTACATTGTATTTAAACAGTGGTAAACTGAAATTAAACTAAATAATTTTCTTTTCTTTCAGAGAGATCAGGGAGAAGTGTACCATTGATGCCACTCGAGGTTTGTCTGGAGCGCTGGATGATGAAAACACAAAAGCAGCAAGTCTAGGATTACGTCGCCGTAACAAACACTTAACACCACATGACTCATCAAAGCTATTGACACATCTCAGAATAGAAAAACAAGAAAGGTTGAAAGAGGCACGCCGGCAACATATTTTGGAAATGAGGCATAAAAAGGATGAGTTTATTAACAGTTTAAGCGAATGGGAAGATAAACTGCTGGCGGAACCAATCAAATCACAGTTGAAATCAATGTGGGAGGTAAGATTCAAATTTCTTCGCTCTGGCATCGTTCGATTTATAGAAAAATTCTTTAGATTTCTAATTTATGAACTACATGCATTTTTATATTATGGACAATGCAGACCAAAAATCATGCAGCAAAATTATATTTAGTACTTGAGATATTGAGTGAATTACTTAGAAATTCAGCGTAAATAATGGTTGATTTTTGAATTTTTTATCCTCAGCTTCCTCAAATTGGCCATTTTTTGTACTTGTGTCTTGAGCCATTGAACATGGAAGAAGTGGTCCATTATGAACTGGAGCGCTGTTTTGCCATGCCCAAGCAAAGTGTCACCATGCAGAAGATCATGACCTCTTTACTCAGCACCCCCTATCAACGGACACGGTAAATATTTTAGCAATTTTACCTATTTTTCCTCAGGGCTTTCAATAGCCTTAGCCCCTGCTTGCACCATTTATACATAGCTCATTTGCACAAAATCAAATGTCAAAATAAATAAATAGTACATTGTACTTTTTACCAGTAGAAAATGTTTTCAGCTTTTTACACTTTACCATAAAATCAAGCACTTAAACAATGAGTGACTGCCATACCTCATGGTTGACAGATTTTTGATAATTGACTTAAAACAATGTTGACATTAATTTTAATCAGATATTTTATCATTTACTGTCACTCACTTACTCACTTGTAGCGATATATTCATTCATGAATAAAAATCATATCATTCATTAATCATAGGATATGCTATATTTATCACCATTATTTTTCTGACATTCTTTTTCAAATTTTAGCAGTAATGTTTGTTTAATTAGTGATAATCATGTAAATAAGATTATATTTATTGTTTCCCATGATTCCAGTTTGGACACGAAGCCTCTGATGCCTTATTCTGTGTGGGAAGAGAAGCTTTCTCTGAAGATGCGTCACTGGTACAAGATACTTCAAGACTCGGGAAGCATACATAAGGTACCGTTGAGCTCTTTATCTAACTATTCTCAATTGAAATTTTGAAATACACCTTCACCACCAAGGAAACGTCAATTTAAAACTAAAAAATCATGAAAAAAATATTTGGACCAACCTTGAATCATAAATGATATTTGGTAAAATCCTTTTATTGGGAGAATACTATAATTCCTCAATATTTTTCTTTAAATTTTGATTCACTGACATCATATTAAATCATGATATTATTTATATTTATTGTTTCTCAGTGGCTGTTCCATGTTTCACTAATTTATTGAATTCTGTATAATTATTAATAATATATAATTAATATATATAATATATATTTTCCTGATACTTTTGTTTCTATTAATCAATTCTCATCAAATCAATCTACAAATAAATCTTAATAAAAACACATTAAAACTCTTTTGATCGATTTAGAGATATATATTTGTTAACTATGATTATTTTTCATTACTTCCGTTTCAGACTTGTGAAAAGCTGGGCTTAGAGCCCATGTTCTTCAAGGTGTTAGGTAAGACTGGGGACTTAAAATTAGATTGTATTCTCAAATGTACAAACAAACCCATCATTATTTCTAACAAACTTATGTTTAGTTTATAAAGATTCAAAAAGAATTACAAGGAAAGTGGATTTCAAGAAATATGTTATCAAAAAGATTAGCAGTCATTGCTAGCATTTTTACTTCATTTCTGAGTGATTTCTGATTATTGATGTCCATGTTGAAATTAGGAACGCCAGAAGAAAACAAAAGTTGATTTTAATAGATTTTGCTTGGTTTAACTAATGTATTTAGAAGATGTCAGAGATGTACAAATCAGAGTAACTAAGTGACAGATGTTCCATTTAGGCTTTACTATTTATCTTATGTTGTTCGTTAGGTATGGTAAACCCATTGGAGAGGGGAAAGTACCACGAGCTGACATACTTCCAGAAAGTCTGGGTGATGAAAGCCATGTGTGATTACTGTTTGGTGAGTTTTCTAAATTAATGGCTATATTCAAGTCTTCAATCCATAATTCATGAACAAGATATGAACATACATATCAAGATAAAATGTCCAAAATGCAAAAAAAACAATCAATGTTCAGCTCTGTCGACTGAATGATTTTTGTATAATGTTTTAGAACTTAAGTTTATTGAAATTAATTGCTTCATTACCTAATGTTACTAAATGATTCATGGATTTTTTTTTGTTCATGAATATTTCGTGAACACTTCACCAATATTTATCTCATGATATTTTATAATTCACATTTAAGGAGAATCAAGAAAGCATCCGTGATGCAATCGAAGCCCAACAAGATAATGAGCGGACTGCCTATGTCCTTGGGAGTGATGTTGACGGCAACACCTATCTCCATTTCCCACAGTTCTGTGGGGCTGACGTAAGAATATATCGCCAAAGTCCTATTACCATGCCAACAATGCCTAAACCCAAACCTCAGAAAGTAGTCCCGAGGAGTAAATCACTTAAGGTATGTAGATACATGTGAAAAAATAAATTATAATCATTTATAACATGAAATATATTTGCTTTAAGAATATCATTAACAGTTCTTATAGATAGATGAAAATGGCTGCTATTTTCAATTATGTTCCATTTAATTTTTACATATCCTTTCATACTGTTGTACATATTTGCAGAGATATTACAGAGGCACATTTGCAACAGATATTGTGATTGTCAATTCTGTCCTATTTAGTTTTTACATATTCACACATTGTACATATTTGCAGAGGCCATCGCGCAAGCCATCAAGGACTCCAAAGAAGAAGATGAAGACAGTTGTGGCAAAGGAGGTATCTCCAAGTCCAAAGAGGACCAGGCCCAGTAGGCTGAGACAGGTGAGATTATGGCTCAATATTAATGGTTTTATCTGTTTAAAAATGTCCTCAGGGCCATTCTGAAAGACCTAATTGCCCAGATTACAGAAAAGCGGCCAACATTTAAGGTTAAGGGAAGAATCTTGAATCTTCTTTCATGTGGAATTGCTGCAGATTGAAACACCTGTACCTGCTTACTTGTATTTCAATTGTTATTGATCTTATTTATTTGTCTCTGAAATACACCAAAATAAGAAATGGGCAATTTGTACCTTTAAATGTAGATTGAGAAAATGAGCAAGAAAATCAAACACATTTTTTATTAACCTTAGCCTTATTCGTGAGAAGTACTTTAATGCATAGCATTTTGTTCTTTTTCAGACAATCAAGCCTGTCATGTCAAATGCTCCCCTTGAGATTGCCACGACAACTGAAGATTCATCAAGTGAAACTGAGGCAACAGAAACCAGCGATGCAGAATCCGATGTAACAGATGCGCCAAGTGAAGTCTCGACAATTTCAAGATCAAGTTCTGTCAATAAAGTTCACTATCCGTCCCATAGTCCACGTATGACTCGCAATAGCATGAAAACAGAGGTTGATGAGCTACCAATGTTAAGTAAAACACGTAGGAAAATATTCGGGGTGGATATGGGTGATTCCGATTCTGAAGTTAGTAGTGTGAAATCAGGAACGTCTGGCCGTACTACTCGTAACTCTACACCGAGAAAAGCCAGTTCTTCATCACGTTCAAATAGTCCAGTGCCTGCCAGTGTAGCCTCACCATCAAGTTCTCGTAAGACTCGATCTAGAAGGGGTTTAAAAACACCAAGTAAATTACTTACAGATTCCACACCCTCCCAGTCTCCTACACCATGTGATACTGAAACCATTTCACAGTCAACAGAATCCCCTAGTAATCACGAGGACACAAATACTGGCAATGAGGACATCACCAAAAGTAATGATATTAGTGTTAAAGCACAGCCATGTAGTAGCAAGAATGAAAATTATGATAGTGGTGTCGATAAGAGTGACTCAGAAATGACTGATTGTGCTGACAGTGATAGCGAGACCCAACCAGGGCCAGGCAAATGGAAAGATACTCAAAATAATAACCCTAACGCAAAACCAATTGGAGATGATACTAACAATACAAAACCTAACTGTATTGATAATCAAACTGCTGCAAGCTCTAGTAGGAGCAATGATGATTATAAAGCTTCTGAAAAAGATTCTGCCATTTCTTGCACAGATTATAAACTTAATGGTAAAACCAGTAGTGATCTGATGGAAACAGACAAAAAGGTCGAAAAGGCTGACACAGTTGAAAATGAATGCAGCAGTCTAGCAGCTGATGTAGCAGCTGATGATACTAAATCAGAAAAAGTAAATGATATTAAATCAAATGATATAAAAGTAAATCAAAATGAAACCAAAGCAGATGATACCATGGCAACTAATGAAGAAAGCCAAAACAATGAACTAATAAAAAAGGAAGTGATTGATGATCAAAACCATAATGAAGAAGTAGAAAATGTGGATAAAGATAATGACAATTGCAGTACTGTAGGAGATAATACAAATGCCATCAAGCAAGTACCTGAAGCTGATACTAATGATGCAAAAGATACAACCACAAAGGAATCTGGGAAGAATGCTATTAAAGAGAAGCTTCCAGAACTCCCAACCCCAGAAATATTGGTAAGAAATGAAATTTGAATATGTAGGTATATTTATAAAATATCTCTAAAATCATTTTTTCGATTCTGTTACCTGAAAGTTTTTGATTTTTGGACTTCATGTGTATCATTCTATTTCAAGGCCTATTTTGGGTGAACACTCTTACATTATAGTTACCTCATGGTTGCTGTTCACTTTTTCTTATCTGTATTGTCCAAACAAACGGGGTCTCAACGTGAAATGTTGATATGAATCTTAATGTTGTTTTGTTCTTATTTCAGGGGCCTGTTGAGGGAGAGTTTGAGCTAGTGGTGGAAAGTGTTGAAACATTAAGAGAACTCACAGAGAAATTTGCAGAACCTGCCCCTGTTGAAATTAAAGGGAAGAAGGGCAAGGTTTGTTACATTTCAGTATTTGTTTTGTATTGTTATCACAGTGACTATTAAGAGAGTGGGTCTAAAATTTGAATATTAATTATTTGTCGATGTAGAAAACTGAAGAACAGAGAATAAAATACAGAATTAATTTCAACAAACTGAGAATGTTGTCATCATTAATTAATGTTATAGTCATGATGTAAAAAGTTCCAGAAAACCTTAGGTTTTAACTTATGATTTCAAAACTTGTATGTGGATTCCTAAAAGTATTTTTCAATTATCATCATGAAAACTTGCATGGTACACATTAATATATTTTTTATTTAGAAAAAAAGCTAAACAAAGAGACAATTAAAACCATTTGGCGAAATTGGAAAACATGTTTCACAAAACTTTTTTTACATGTGTCATCTACAACTATTCATATTAAACAAAGTTTGGCTGCTATATAGAAACTCTTTAAGTTATTATGTCAGTACCAAAAGTGGTGTCATTTCCTTAAGCCACTATTTTTACAGGCGTTTGTAAATGTAACACATGGTCACACTTTTGTAATTGTGACCAGGTTGTGACATCTTGTGATATAAGTACCATGTTACATTTCAATGTTTGTTGTTTATTGTCCAGGTAACCACTGAACCAGTTGCCTGGCCCAAAAAGCACAAAGAGCTCCACAGTCGACTACATTTCCTCCTTGTTGAATTGGAACCATGGGACCAGAAGCTGTTACAAGCCAATAAGAAAGCTAGAATGAAACTCCGTAAAGAGTTTGAAGATTATGAAGAAGAGGTTAAGCCAGAGGTAAATGTAAGGCAATCTTTAAAAATATTTGGCATGCATAGAGATTTTAAAAGTGTATGTAATGGTAATTGGAGAAATGTGTACATTAGGGTATGTTAATTGTTAATGGGGGAAATTTACATTAGGGTATGGTTATGATGGAAATGTGTACATTTGGGTATGCTAATTGGAGAAGTGTACATTTTTGGATAAAGTGAAGAATAGTACAAAGTGTAGAGGAGAGAATAGCATGCATGTCTTATTTTCATTGTTGCAAAACTATATTTTTTATGTTCTTCAAGTGACCCTTTCCTGGTCAGTTACAAAGTTTCCCATGTTAGAGCATCTCAAAAAGATTCATGTTAATTCAACCACCCAAAAATAGATAGCCCCTATCCCCCCTCCCACCCCGCTTGCTTTTGATAGCTGTATCTCTTTGTCTCAGGATGATGTGTGGGAAAGTGAAGAGTCGGCAAGTGAAGAGTCTGAGGAAGAAGAAGAGTCCAATGATGAGGGTCAGAATGAAGAGAAACAAAAGCAAGTGATCAACAAGTAAGAGCTCATCTCATGACTTTAGTAATTTTATTTGCAATAATATATAATTATAAAATAATAAAAAATGTGAGAATGACCTCCGAGTCCCTTAATTTTTTATTACTATGGCAACCATTTCTAGGTTCCTTATGTAGGTTCTCATTCTTTGAACAATTTATTAGAAAATCTTGCTAAATGAAAAGATAAGAGCGAAAAGAAGGGAACTCTCCGATCCCCCTCACATGTCTCTTTACACATAATTCTGTTAAGAATCGAATTTAACTATTTTTTAGTTTTAAGTGTGTCACAATGAAGAGGCCAAGTCAAAATAAATGTAAATGAATTTAAATTGCTGATTGTATTACAGACCTGTACGTAAGAAGAAACGCCAGGAAGATAAGCCTGTTGCCCCAGAGCCTGTAGTCGAGGATGAAATTGATGTCTCCTCCAGAGGGCGCCTCCGAAAGCGCAGGTTTATACCAAACAACATAGAAGACCAGGGTCTTAAACCCAAGAAGGTTGCCAAGTTGTTTGAGGTAAACTCTGAAATATGATAAGTTTTTGTTAAAGAAGTACTGTCACATATTTAAATATTTGAGCTTTTAGCACAAATCTTAATTCCCATGTAGAGAGGTTCTGAAACATTCAAATGCTGTAATGTACTAATGTTGAATGGAGTTTTTACCAGTTGGATATGTACCCAAGAAGGTGAATGGTATTTTAAGTTCCATGATAGCTTCAAACTTTTATCCACATAAATTAGCTGTGATGTAGATATTTTATAAATAAATTTCAAATGTTCTGCTTTCAGGGGCCGAAATACCCTGTTCCGAGTACAGAATCGGTGTTACATCAACATTTGATGAAGCCACTTGCAACCAGTGTGGGGACCCTAGGAGCTAGATCAACCCCTGGACTGTCGCACTTGCAGTTCCAGAGCTCAGCAGTTTCCACACCCCAGGGGACTAAATCTAGTTATAGCCTATTACAACAGCCCCAGCTAGGACAAGCCTCTCATCAGCTCATACAGGCCTTATTGGCCAATGGGAACCAAGCAAAGAACACTGACACTGCAATTAAACCAGTGGAGGGAAAAATATCTGAAAAATTTCCAGGGTTTCAATTCAAACTGCAACCAGGTGTGTCTATTGGTAACACAGCATCCTCCAAAATGAGCTCTGTAACAGCTTCTTTGCTGCAGTCTCCCCTACAGCCAACATCATCTACAAACAAGACCCAAGTTTATAATGTTAACCCTGTGAAATCTCTTCCTCCTGCTCTCATACACAGTCTCCTGGCAAAACAGATGGCAGCACTTAAAAAACCACCCAAACAGCCGGTTGTCCCAGTGATAACTTCACCAGCTTCGGCAGTGGCTGCGTCTGTTATGTCAGTACCAGAAAGTACATCTCCAAGTGCACAACCTGCAGCACGGTTGACAGCTAGTCTGTTGCAGCAAGGAGTGAATAATCAAGGTCAGATTTCAAGTAGTGAGACTCAAGCAACGTCTGAGGTGTCAACTCAACCTAAATCACCGAATTCTTTCTCAAGCCCCTGGGCGCAGCAAGTGTTGAATCCTTACAATGTTGCTATTAATAGCTCTAAATACCCAGCCAATGCTACTGTCAAGATGTTACTTGAGAGAAGACAGAAGTCAGCAGTTAGCACTTCCAATGAGACTTCCAGCTCTCCATCTCCCGTTACAGTATCATCAACTGGGATAGTTCAAGCTCAATCTGTAGGGGTCTCCACTGCTCTCAGCTCATCTTCCACAGGTATTGTTGTATCACAAGTTCAAGGCGCAACCCAAAGAGCACCAATAGTTGCAGGCCAGCTTGGAGCCTTACGTGTCATAAGCTCACCAGCTAGACCCTTACTCTCTACAGGCACTGGCCCTTCACAGGCATCCAACACAGCCCTACCAATAGCTGGAGCCAAGATACGTTTCCCTCCATCTCTTACCCCTGCTTCTAATATTCTACAGCAAGCGGGGAAACTGGCCCCAGGTATGACGAGGGTTGATGTGATGCCGGTTAGATCCAGTGTCATTGATGCTGCAGTGAAGGCAGTCATGACGGATGTGAAGACAAGCCTACCTACAGCTCATATAAAAGTTCCTCCATCACCCCTTAGTGTACGGAGTATTCAACCCAGGAGACCAGTAACCACCACCCGTATGGCACAAACCACACCTATCCCAGCGTCCCCTGCTGCCCCCACACCACAGCGTGTACCTATGATGATCAATGTTGTAAGTCCTGGGAAATCAGCCACTGTACCTCCTTTGTCTGACACAACACTGACAGCTAAAGTTGCTATTGCCCAAGGATCTCAAGGTCAACCTGGCCGGGGACTACTTTCTCTGTCTCCATCTGCTGGTACACGGAAAAATGAAGTGAGGAAGAATGTGATTGTGAAAATAGTACCTCCTGGCTCTACTACTGCTCAGACCCAATCTATCCCCGCAGTCATGACACCGCAGGGTCTGGTGATTCCCCAGCAGTATTTAACAGGGGCCAACCAAGCATCTAGGCTGGTAATCCAAGCAGTAAACCAGTCTACTAAGGCATCTGGAGCGACAGTTCTTCCAACAGGAAGCCAGCCAACTTTGAGCCAAGGTCAAGGTCAAATAAATATCTTGCAGGGACAAGCGAATGTGCAACAAGGAGTAAGAAATGTTGCACAAACTCAATCAAATGTTGCACAAACAAAGCTGGTACAAAGTGAAAGTAATCCACTTCAAATGAATATGCCTAGAGGCAATCTACAGGCTGGACAGGTCCATACCATTGATGGTAGAACATACGTCATGCAAGGCCTAACCACTGGTGCAAATGTGCTCCCAAAACAGACAAAAACAATAACAATTCAACCAGGAGTGGCAAGGCAACCGAAAGAATCTTCTCAAGGTAAAGTGATATCATTGAGCCCTGCTGGTGATTCTGTTAGCTCAAAGGTAGCTAAAGTGATAACTATAAAAAAGGAGGTTGGCCCTAAAACTGCCTCAGATAAGGTAGTTGCCACTAAGAACCTTAATACTGAAAGTCAAAATCGAATTGTTAAGCAGGATGATCTTGCAAAGGTACAACAACAACAGAGTATCATGAATACATCTGGAGAGAGTGATGATCTTGCACAGTTGCAGCATCAAAGTGCAGCCTTGCAACTGATGGCCCTAAAGCGAGGGAGTCCCCAACAACCTGTTGTCATGGTAACCAGTTCCCAGAAAAACATCCAGTTGTCCCAGGGCCAGATGAGTAACTCTTCGAGACTTCTTGTTGCTGTCACAGGAACTGTTACTTCTCCAGTAGTCACAAATGTTGACCCTAATAGGCTTACTGGTGTCCAAATGCAGCGCCCACAACTCCAGCTCCAAACTAATCAAGTTACTCCTCAGAGCCCCATAGTGACAACACCAGCAATTACTTCTCCCCCTGTCAATGCCTCCTTGCCCCAGATAGCAGGACAAATTAGGAATGCCAATTTGCGTCAAATAATGTTAGCCCCTGGATACCAACTGTCGAGTGGCAGTCATGTTATACCACAACCTCTTACATCACAGTTTTTAAATACACCAAGTTCAGGACAAGTCATTGTATCCCAAGTGTCTCCACAGGCCCCTATTTCAACAGTTGCACAGGGGTCCCCATTTCAAATGAACCAAGGGGGCTCTGTACAGATGCCATCACCAGGGCAAGTGCAGATACTAACTGGATCAGGTCAACTCATAAAGACTCGGATGACACAACCAGTTCCAGGGAGAAATATAAGAAATGTGCAGATAGTAGGAACTGGTTCACAATCACAACCATCCATTGCTGTTCAACCATCTATTGTACAACCATCTGTAGCTGTACAACCCTCTATAACTGCCCAACCGTCTTTAGCTGTACAACCATCTGTACAACAAGCAGTTCAGATCTTGCCTCAAGTGCAGTTGCAACAGATCCAAAGGCAAGCCTCCATTCCAGTTCTGTCTAATGTAATACTTCAACAGCTTCAAGGACAGGCCTCAATGCAAGTACAACCCTCAATACAAGTACAGCCCTCTGTACAAGTACAGCCCTCAGTAAAATTACAGCCCTCTTTACAAGTACAGCCCTCAGTAAAAGTACAGCCCTCTGTCCAAGTGCAACCCTCTGTACAAATCCAGCCCTCTCTCAAAATGCAGCCCTCTGTCAAAGTGAACCCTACTGTAAAAGTACAGCCCTCTGTAAATATACAGCCCTCTGTTCAAGTGCAGGTACAGTCAGGTCAGGGTCAGCCCACAATGCAGATATTATCTCCAGTTAAAGTTGATTCAGCTGTAAATACTCAGTCAGCTGTACTCGGACAAGCACACACAACTGTCCTTGGTCAACCAGCTGTACAAATTCAGCCTCAGCTACAACTTCAAACGCAGTTTCAGCCTTCAGTGCAAGCGACACAAGTCCCTGTACACTTGCAACCACAAGTACAGTCAACTGTACACTTGCAACCACAAGTACAGTCAACTGTACACTTGCAACAACAAGTACAGTCAAATGTACATTTGCAACCTGCTGTGAACAATTTGAGGCACATTCCTGTACCAGTTCAGCCCTCAATACAATTTCAAACATCACCCACTGCAAAGGTCACCTCTTTAACTCCTTCAACTCCATCTGGAGAAACTCAATCAATGGTTAATGCAAATTCTGGAGAGGGTCAGAAAGTCACTATTGGAATACCCTCAAAGCCAACCCAAGGGATGTCATTGAATTCTACACCTGATGCTCAGAAAACGGCACAAAAACTTGTGTTATTCAACATCAAAGGTCAGTTTGTGACCCCCCAGGGGTTACCTGTGACCCTAGCAGATGGCAAGCTGGTGATGCAGCAGCAACCGGGACTTCCAGGTTTACAAAGTTCCAACCTTACATCGGCACTACTACAAGGAATCAAACTCACACCACACAGCATATCTCATTTGAAAGAGGCTGATAAAGTTGAAAGAAGTAAGAAACTATTGGAGACATTGTCACTACCAAAACAGCCTGTCCAAGGAAGAGAATCCGTGGCTGTTACATTAACTGAGAGCACCCCAGTCCAAGAATCTATAAGTGGCTCTCAAGAGCCTGGTGTGAGTGGAGCAGAGGGGAACCTGCTGTCTAAGTTAATGGCTACACCCCCTATTACAACTAAGGCATTGTCCACCTCAACTGCGACTCAAAATGGAACATCCCCTGATAGCAGTAACACAGTAACCATGGTAACAGATTCATGATAGAAACTGATGACCCATAATTTCCTAAATAAGGGACTTTCACTAGCAGCTATGATGTTTGTCATACTTTCCATTTCTTTATCAATGACCTTAATTCATCCTTGATTAGTAACAGTCAAGGCAAGTAATGGAATAAAATCCTAGTGACCATTTTCACGCACCCATCTCCCTCTTCGTCTCTAACATAATGCAATACATTTCTTGCCACCTGCAGGAAAGCAGCAACACCTCTACCTATGAGTGGTCAATCGAACATCAACATTTACAGTCTTCCCGGCATATTTGTTTCATTCAGGGCAGCTAAAGTTTAAAGCTAGAATCAGAGCTATAAGGAGTGACAATATTGTAACCAATCAATGTGTCATCCTACCATTCCAAATATAAATCTATATTCACATTTATTTTTACAACGGGTAAAGTGAAATATCTGTACTTTAATCAGAATGCATGGCAAAGAATGAGATATTACAATTTAAAGAGAGGTTTTCTTTCTCCGATTCTTCCTTTAAATGCCTACCTCAAGCCATGGCAACCTCTACAATATATTCCAAATTTACGCAAACTACACCCCAGACAACCAAATAATCCTCAAAATATTGTAACAGTCTGCAGGTCTTGTGTGTATTTTACATATACATGTACTCTAAAGAAAGAATAATTCATAAGCAGATCCATAATTTTCTGACATCTGGAGATTAGTCAACGTTTCAAGTCAAATGTCATTTCTACTAAATGGGTCATCATAATTATTTATTGTATTTAGCATTACATTTTGGATTTCAAAATAAGCAAGAAATTCATCATTGAGCATAATGCCACTATCATAAACGCTTTAACATTCAGTACTAATGAATCTGTTAGATACCTCAATTATGTAACCACCAAAAAGTGACCTCTATATTTGCAATTAGTGTGTATTTCTGCAACCAGATCCTGTACATTAAGTTTAATTAATTTCAAGTCAGAAATACTGTTAATGTACCTTTAGTATTTGATTATAAATCTTTAAAACTGCATGATATCAATTTTGTTACTACGGATGAAAAATAGGAACTTAATTTTCTCAATAAGGTTTTGCACCATTTTGTTCCTTATAAACATGTATGTAAAATGGTGTATGGTATGTGTTTCATAATATGGGATTATTATAATAGCATTGTACCTACCATTAGGTGGAGCCTACAAGTCTCCTTAATGTCAAAAATTCTGTTTTGAAGTTTGGGAAGTGTTAAAGCCAAAGTGTAACTAACTAGTTTTTTACATAACTGTTTAGAATGCTGGAAATGCCTAGTTAATTTATATAAAACACTCAAATGTAATTATTTTGAATATTGAATGGTGGCAAATATTGCATGAATGAAATGCTCATTATCAAGGAGCAACATTAGAGTACTAATTTGAATGAGTGCATGTTTTCTTATAATTTATTGAATTAAATTGAAATTGAGATGTATGGTAAGGATTGATCTGATATGATGTAGATGCCATGCAAACAGTAATTACAACTGTAATTCTAGCCTATGCTCCACCAGGCATTCTTGATAAAAAGTAATACAATTATTAACACTTTGATCAGTTTTATAGTGACAAAATTGTATGGTATGGAAAGAAGAAAATAAACATTGGATGTTCAAGATAAACTCCCCTCCATAAGTTTGGCAACTGCAAGTTTTGATTGAGTAGCATATCAAACTTGCCGAACTGATGGAGGGGGTGTATGCTTAGGTAATCTGTGTAGGGCAGTTGGCCCTCACCTAACCTGTAAATTTTTGCCACAAAATGTTACCTTGGTAGATAAAGAGTACTATATGGAACTACATTAATAAAGAAGCATTTTTTGTTGTGAAGCTTGCATATTTGGTCCATTTCTAAGAAATACCACACGTGTTTGAGAGTACAGTATGTCTGGTTTTTGCATTATTAATTGCAAAATGTGTAATTTTATTATATATATTTAAAATATTATGTATTAAGCTTTTGTCTTAAGCATATAAAATATAGACTTGCAATGAAAAGTAATTTGTAATTGTTTTTGTTCATTTCCTCATTGGTGTTTTTACCATCAGAAGCTTTGACATATTGTTTATAAAAGTAGCTTGGAAGAGCCACATACGTTACAGTATCACAAACAATTCCAGATTATATTTTGGATTATGGATATTTTTTTAATGTGAAGACAGGTGTATCTGCTATTTATTTATCTCCAAGAAAAGTATATGATGATGATTAATTTAATCAGACTAAGTGATGATAACATGTCAAAGGGGCAATGACCTATCAACATACTTTTTCAAAAATTCACTGAAAAGGCAACCATGTAAAATGCCTAATTAGGATGTGCTTCAAGGCATATTCTATTTCCTAAAAGGAAAAGTGGATTCATAGGATTCCTCCCTAGACTTAAGATACTGAATTTGGATGACCAAAATGAGCTGAAAACAATTGGTAACATGAGTTTTTCAATGGGGAAATAACATGGGGAACACTAATTCTAGAGAAATTCAGTTTTCCTTTCAAGAACCAATTGATATTAAAAAAGAATAGTAATGCATTAAACATTGTAAAAAAGATTGCTTTTTTGGTGAAAATTAGGTTGGTGTCATTGAAAAAAGTAAGTATGTTTATGGCACCCTAAATATCACAGAGTCCAATTGAGGTAATTACCATTGTATACACTTTTCTTTGAGATCATGAATGGATCTAAAAGATATGCCGGTCTTCATGGTCAGAAATTAGTTAGAATCCAAGATATAGCTGTCTGAAATTGTTTGCTATATATAAGATATACCTGTATGACATTTTTGAGACAACACATCTTTCAGCGGTAACAAATTATGGGACTCAAAACATTTCTAACATAATTCAATTCAATATGAGGGGAACCTTAAGGGTCAAGGTCAGAGGGACTTGAAATTTATGGTTAACACATTTTCTTGACATCTTCAGATTTTCCACAATATTGGATTTGTTACACTAAAATAAGTAATGAATCGATGAGCTTTACCACATATAGGTTTTTCGCTGTCATGTCATTGTTATAAGCTCATTCATCCTGCCAATTATACTTTTAAGCCACACAACTGGGGATTTCAACATTCTAATTCATCTTGTGGCTGTTAATTCTTGAATCCTATAATTTTTTAACAAAACAAAAGCATTGACTTTTACAAATTTACAGTCATGTATGCACTTTATTTACAATAATTATAAGTGTAAAATGTACATGAAGAAAAATAAATAAGACATAAATTACAGTCAAATAACAAGCTAGAGTATTACATATATCCCAATATAGAGTACTAATGGATCTAAATATCACACAGAAGGAATAAATGCAAAAACTGCAGAGAAATCTGTTAAAGAACATGTTCATTTTACATGAAGTGGGTAACTGAACTTTTATCACAGAAAGGATAATGGAGACAGTTAGTAATTGCACACATAGTGATAAATAGATCACATAATAATAGGATTTTATTAGTACTGATGCCCTTTTTTTATTTTTTTATCTATTTATTCTATCCACCATATTTGATGTGTTTAAATAAATTTTACATTACATTTTAGGGCCAAACGCACATCCGATATACAATTTTCAATAAGTAAATATAGCAATAAAGTAAAGAAAATAGGATATAAATATCACATTTATCACAAAAACCTACTCTCTACAAGTTTTATGTGGTGCCTACCCATCTGTCCAAACAGACTCATGCATGGAGGCCATGAGGCATGAGTGCAAGCCAGAAATATAGCACTTTGTAAAAGTGTGAAAATACTAGTAATACTGCAACAGTAATATCTAAAAATATTGCACAGCTTAACACTAAATGACAGATTTATAAATGAACGAACCAATGACAAAACAAGGAAAACTTGCCTGGATAGGAAAATAATTTAAACACCACCCTTAAATATGAAACAGAAAATGATTCTTCTTTTTGTCTTTCACTTTACAATGTTGTAATTGTAGCAGCTGTAGCTGCACAGAGATTCTGATATAGTTTCGTTAAACATGGACTTCTAACCCCTCAGCTGAATATGTCACAATGGTAGCTAGTTGGTGTTATATATTTATTCAACCTAACACTAAAATAGGCAAACACAATTGAAGAAATATAACACCACAGATAAAATCGTATGTACATCATTAATATTCTATGACTATGTTAAATTATTTAGCCTCTTCTTTCACTAAAGTTACTGGCATTTCAGGCTCAAATGTAATGAACAGGGAGCTCTTTTGGTAAATTGCTATGGTCATATACAAATACTAAGTTTTTAAGTGGTCTATGTAATGAACATTCAAATGGCTAACAATTATATATCACTATAATATATGAAAGACATTTCCACTATACTCTGTTATAAGTAAGGGAACATATTCCACGATATCAACAATATCAGCTGAAATCAACTATGAAGAATGAACAAGAACATAAGCATTTACATTAGCAGAGCCAGCCATGAGGCAGGAGAGGAAATTGCCTCACCACAATATAACATATTTTCAAAGTTTTTAAAACTAAAACTGCATATATGAATTCAAAAGGCAGAAAGGTAGAAATAAATCTCCTTTAACCTATATTTTGCCTTACCTAATTTAGGATCCTGGATTAATGTCCCTGATAAGGTTCCAAATTACTATTATGCGTAATTATCATTTCATGGACTTCACTGGCAGCACGCAACAGCCAGTATGATGAAGTTGAATTTATCAAAATGGCCCATTGATATTTCTGGAATTGAATTATAGTTTTTGATATTTTCTCCCGTTGTTTTCATTCATTTTGTTGGTTGTCTGAAATTCAAATGAAACCCCTGAACTTAAACATGTTTCTCATTTTATTATGCCTTCCTATTTAATTGACTAGAACTACTTATTCACTGCCATCCTGAGTGTGCTTTATCAGACGTTTCCGAACACTTTCAGTTTCCTCACTTTCTAAATTTTCCACATTTCCAATTATTTCATCAACACTGTCATTTTTAACATTTTCCACATCATCCACTGGATTTCTGGCATCCCCTTCCATGTGTCTTTTAAGAGATTCTAATTCTTCCGCATCAGTGCTTTTCCCCAATCCACTGTCTCCTCCTTCTGATTCATCTGAGTTCCCATCAATCAGTGTCTCATTCTTGCATTGTGTGTCAGCTGTATGTGTCTCTGCATTGAGGGTCCCATCATCAATATCATCCAGATCTTCAAATGTGTCATTAAACTCCTCTTCACTATCTGAGATGTTTCCTTCATTATTGTGCTGAGATTGTACACATGTTGCTCTATTAGATCTAGAATAAGCTCGATCATCTTTTGAGTATCTTTCATCATCTCTATATAGTCCATGATCACGTCTAAGTCCATCATCTTTATATGGCTCATCAATATCACGTCTAAGTCCATCATCTCTATATGGCTCATCAATATCACGTCTAAGTCCATCATCTCTATATGGCTCATCAATATCACGTCTTAGTCCATCATCTCTATATGGCTCATCAATATCATGTCTTATTCCATAAAGTCCATCATCTCGTCGATATAGCCCATCATCGTGTCTTAGCCCATCATCACGCCTATATCGCGCCCTACCTGGACTATGTTGTCGGTGCTTATGTCTGTCTGAAGCATCATTGTGAGTGTATGGGGATTCAACTTCAATCTCTTCACAGTTTTCATCTTCATCACCATCTTCCCAGAGGAGGCCACCCTGGAAAATTAACAACCAATTAGAGTGCTTGATTAAATCCAGTGCAATGGACTAGCTAACAGTGAACAGTGAAATATGGCGTGTATTATCACTCATGCATGTCATGCACCATTCAATGGTTTACAGGAGTCCCAACAAATGGGAATAGTTGAAATTTGACACGAAGTATTGTCCCCTGGGGTGGAATTCTAATAGAATATTTTGACCTAAGAGTAAGGACTTTTGAAATCTATATTCTCAATAATTGCAATTTTAATCATATTTCACCAGTTATTATTGCTCCTATGGTGGAGAAATTGCCTCACTGGGTTATTCCCACCCAAGGTAATCCCTGGCTCACAGCCCTTTCCCAATAGATATAGTCTATACACAAAATAAAATTTTAGACTTAATCTTCAGAATTGAATAGCAAAACCAAGTTGCTTTGTTATTCTATAATAAATGGTAACCAATAGCTCAACCATGTGAGCTAAAAATAAGTTGGCTCACAGCCCTTTCCCAAGAGATAGTCTTATATATTACCCAAAATGAAATTTTAGACTTGAATAATAAAGCCCTTTTGCTATATCTATTATAAATGTTAACCAATAACTCAACCATGCGAGCTAAAAATAGGCTGGCTCAAACTGAAACTGGATTCCAGACTCCAAAAACCATTCCATGGTCTGTGTGAGAATCCTCCAAAAAACTGATGCAAATGTTTCTCAGCCTGATTCCCCTATCACTTACTGTTGTGTGAACTTTGTCCTCAACATGTTCCATGGCATGAAGTATTCTTGTCATCCTCATCTCTGTTTCATGTAGCCTGGACCTCAGCTCCTTCATTTCAGGCAGGGCTGAAATATCATGTTTTCAAATGTGAAATACTGTGGAAATGGGTGGAATCAGCAAGGAATAAAGTAAACAGGTGTGAACTAATTCAAACATTCCAAGTTGTTGGAAGAAAATTGATTTATAGAAAAGAAATGGTCTGGTAATATTAAAGCACTAATAATAAATACTTATAATATCATGTGGCCATTTAAAAAAACTATATAACACTATTTTGTCAATCAATGAATGAAAATCGAAACACGGTTACTCAACATTAAATGTTCTAGTAATGTTCATTTAAAAATGATGGCATAGTTTTTCAAGATATTTATACTTTGATCATGATGTATGAAAAATGATTCATACAAGGAATGAAAAATGCAACAAAAAAGTTACAAGAACACAAATGTGTACAAAATGTCCCCACCTATGGGTGATCCTGTCAAATGGTTATCCTAAAAATGAGTAGACAAGACTTTACTGACACAATTTGATGATGGAAAATCTAAAATGGCCACCTTAAAATTTACCTAGAATGCCAAAAAACTAATCAGATCTAGATTTTCATACTAAGAATCATCCCTGAAAATTTGAAATTGATCTACAAAACGGTTCACCTAAAAACGCATAGACAAGACTTTACGGGCAGGATTTTAAGACGGAAAATTCAAAATGGCTGCCTTGACATTTATCCAGAATGCCAAAAAACTGATCAGATCTAGATTTTCATATTAAGAATCATCCCTGAAAATTTGAAATTTTTCTACCAAACGGTTCACCGGGAAATGCGTAGACAAAACTCTACAGACAAGATTTTAGGACGGAAAATCCAAAATGGCTGCCTTGGCATTTACCCAGAATGCCCAAATACTAATCAGATCTAGATTTTCATACTAAGAATCATCCCTGAAAATTTGAAATTGATCTACAGAACTGTTCACCTGGAAATGCGTAGACAAGACTTTACAGACAATATTTTAGGACGGAAAATCCAAAATGGCTGCCTTGACAATTACCCAGAATGCCAAAAAACTAATCAGTTGTACATTTTCATATTAATGATCATCCCTGAAAAATTGAAATTGATCTACCAAACAGTTCACCTGAAAACGCGTAGACAAGACTTTACAGACAAGATTTTAGGACGGAAAATCCAAAATGGCTGCCTTGACATTTACCCAGAATGCCAAAAAACTAATCAGATCTAGATTTTTATACTAAGAATCATCCCTGAAAATCAAGAATTGATCCACCAAACGGTTCACCTGAAAACACGTAGACAAGACTCCACAGACAAGATTTTAGGACGGAAAAATCCAAAATGGCTGACAATAAAAAAGTGATCATGAATTTTTGCTGATTTCTTTTTACAAAATTATCACATATAAATACTGTTAACAACAACATAGGCTTTAACAACAAAGTACATCTGAAATTATTTATAAAGCTACTAAATAGTTAGAATATGAAAACTCAAAAACACCATTCAATATGATACAAAGTATTATCGTGCGCTAACTTTTCTTAAGACATTCAAAATGGCTGACATGACTGAGCTAACAGGTCCAAAACCTAATCAGATCTAGAATGAAGTGAGCTGAACAAGATGTTAAAGTTTTAAAAGCAACTGTGAAGCCGTTTTTCTTCACTTCAAAACGGCCGACAGGAAGTAGGTATCGAGTTAATTTTTTTTCATCCACATCTGTATGCACTCATAAGTTATCCCTGAAAATTTGAAGGTGATATCTGTAGCGGTTTTGGAGAAAACTCCCGGACGTACGGACGGACAGACGGACGGACGGACGGACAGACGCGCCTAGGCCGACAATATGGCCCCACACTATGTGGTGGGGACATAACAAAAGCTTAATTAAAGACAGGTGAAATATATACTTACTAATAATCCCTTCATCTGATTTGCGTATAAGCTTCTCAAGTTCTCTCTCATTGCGTCTCTTCAGCAAATATCTCTTATAATCGTCGTCCCCATCAAAGTCTTCTCCAAACACAAACTTTTTACGGTTCAGTTGACTTCCGTACACAAATTCCTTCTGGTCTCCGTCATATTCCATATGGCGATATTGAGAATGCAAGATCTCTTCTTCCTCCGAGCGACTCTTTCGACTGAATACCTAGAAATAAGTGAATCACATAATATTATCAATATAGCGATCTAGTTGTCTCATCAATATCAAGGCAATAACCTAAGGGGAAGGCCTCCAAGGTTTTGTAATAATTATATATCTCACTAATTTTGTTTAGTTATATTGTTTAGTTATATACCTAAAATACTATCATTATATATATATTAAGTTAAATGCGTGAAAATTCATCTTTTAGAGTATTTTATATCAACAACAGCACTTATCAAAAACAGCACTTATATAGAAGTTGTTTATTTCTCAGAGGGGTTAAGAAATCTAAATCAAAAGCAAAATTGTTTAAGTGACTCTAGCCATGCTCAAGTCAGTATTTTTTAATTATTTGATCTTGAATTATTACCGCCTTGTACAATCTAATACATCACCACTGATATTATGATAAGTTATTCAGTGGTTTTGAGATTTCAACTTTTTCCTAAGCATATTTCTCATGGGTATCGCGAAACTGTCTTATTGATATTTGCGAGGACACGACTTGTGACTTCAGGCTGATTGACCAATCAAAACGTTATCAGGTTTACCTGCATAAACAAAGCAAACTACCTGTCTATGACTTGGAATTTTCAATGTTCTGATCGAGTATTTCTTCAGAGTTAAGCAGTCATTAAATATATATTAAATCATGTGATTTAATGTTGATCTAAATATAAATTGAATCATGCTATTTAATGTTGATTTAAATACATGTATAAATTAAATCATGCGATTTAATGTTGATTTAAAATTGAATGCGCAATGAAAATGCACTAAGATCTAGTCCATGTAGTCGTCCAACTGATTCAGTGATTGATCTGTTATTGTTTGATCATTTCAGCGATCTTTTCAACGTTTCTTGTTGAAATCTTCTCTGGGTATCCGATAGATGCTTTCGTATCCACGAGACTCTGATTGATATTTATCTGATAAAATATTTGTATTTTCATGATGAATTGTGCAAGATTTGTTCGTGAAAAGTGTACCGTTGTTTTGACTGTGCATAATAATGAGCTTACGCTGCAGGACTGTCGTTGATTGGTCAACTTTACCGACATAAACATTGTAGAGGCTGACGGTAATTCCGGTTATACGGTTTCGGTACGGAATTGAGCATTTACCGGTATTGAAATTATTAACCGGTTAACCGACGATAATCCCCGGGGAAATAAAAGACACATCGTTTTTTAATTATTTCGTTTAATTTCCACTTTCACGATGCGTACATTTACATAGACATTTAGATGTCCATGTTTGGCAGTTCAGGTGTTATTTCCATGTTTGGCAGTTCAGGTGTGATGTCCATGTTTGGCAGTTCGGGTGGGTGTAGTAGCTTCATGCGCAGGCTCAGATTTGGTTGTAGTTATGTTTGGCAGTTCCGTTGTAGTTGTAGTGTCAACGTCAGATCCAGAAACTGAATTTGCCATTGATACAGTTGATAAATAGTTTGAAATGTGTAATACATTTAATTTAAAACTAAAAATATCCTGATTAGTAAGATAGTAACATTCTATTTCGTGAAGTTCATCAGTATGGGTTCAAATCGGTCTTGCACCATGTATGCATATAGACTTGTGAAGCTACGGAAAGAGTTTGGAACAAAGTGGGGGTGGCAGCGCATTGGCATTTTATCTTACATATTTTTACCGGTATTTCGGTAACGGTACGGTTATTAGCTTGACTGTTACCGGTACTGGTTTTCAGTACCGTTGCGACCTCTAAAACATTGTATTGGTAAGCACATGGCTTTCTCATTGGTCCAAGGTGGTCATAATAGAAATCAAGATAAGTAGAAGAGATTGACTTGTGCAAGACTAAGGTGAATCCTAAATCCAAGTTCCTTATTGATCTCAACATAACATACCTTAGTGAGTGTGTATATGAGATAGAGCACTATACCAACAGCATACATAGGAAGGACCATCATCATTATACCTCCCTTTCCCCCTCCAGTTGCCGCAGTCTCTTTCCTCATTTCAGAATGAGCCCTCATCCCAGGATTGGGTCCACCCTTTAATACAATAAACATAATCAATAGCAATTTCACATACGGTTGAACTAGTGTCCATTGCGCAGTCAGTTTGAGCATTTCAAATGCCAAAACGAAGACTGAATAAAACATTGATATTCATTGATTTAAAATATTTCCTATGATAGTTCAAATGCTGTGTGGCACAATTAATTAAAGCGCTGGGTTTTAAATTTTTTAAATCGAGAGGGTGGGTTTGAAACTAAATAGGGCAGACAATCTAAGTATGCAAAGCTGGTTTTGCAAAAATGAATACTATAATATAAAATAGTTCTTACCCTCATTCTGGGTGGTACATCATCACTCATGCTGGCATGATGATGGATAGGATGTTGGCGTCCTCTTGGATGAACTAAAACAAAAAAATTTACATTAAATATTGCACCGTGGTCGTTTGATTAAGTGGTCACTTAATTTAGGTTTAGTAACATTTCACTGTAGTGCTGCAAATGGCATCAAATTTCAATACCGTTAACAAGTACACCCAATTTCGTACCGATCGGTATCTTTATGTGCCTCAAGTTCCACCTATCATACTAAAAGAGAGTCTGAATGAGAGAAGTTAAAGTTTAGCAATTAAAAAACTTACATTTTGGCCCTCCATTATGAACATGAAGAGCATTTGAAGAGCAATGAACCAAACACTTCCAGGTAGAAAATTTAGCAAAATTTCTTGCCAATAAGACAATTGATGTTGTTTTACAAAAGAACAATGCAAAATCAGAGCGCAGGTATAGTTCATCGAGGCAAGGCATAGCATCTTGACATGCTATTGACCCTATTGTCTTCATACGTCATCCAGCATTTTATTTCTATACCGGCACTGAAGAGGCACTTTCGTGCTACTTCTGGTACTACCGTGATGCACTACAGTGTATTTCATAAATAAGAAATTTGCACACCGATTGAAATAGGGTTGGATTGATGTTATTCATGACCAGACTCCAGGTTAACTGAACTCACCTACCAGGTTGGTAACCCTTAAGAAAAAACGCTTGTTTTCTCCTCATGTGGTTAAAAGATGACCTTTTTTAACCACATTTTTACCACTCAAGATATGTAAAAGTGTGGTTGTGGTCACCTGTTCTGACACATAAAAGTGTGGACCCTGCTGGTATTTCTTCCACAGTTCCAAGAAACATCTTCCCATAGTTTCTCCTCATAATGAAAAAGTGTGGTTAAGGTGTTCATGAAACTATGGAGAAGCAGGACATTCATATTGATATGATTTAAGATTACCATATTGTTAATAGGGGTAAAAAGGGTTAATGGTTGCCATAAAATATTTTAGGATATACCGAACATGATAAGCCAGTGCTATACCTGTTATTCTGGCATCTAAATTGTTTTAAGCATCTTCTTTCAAATATTCCATTATGCACATCGCAAATATGAGAATGTTGTATGATCGAAGCATAGGGAGATTCTTTACAAAATATTTCAGTAAAATGACATAAGGATTAGAGGCAAATGAATGATGCTCCCGGGATTGATGCTCGACTTTTCTATTTAGGTAGATCAGAAGTTTGCATGAATATAAAACAAAGTATTTAAAATTAGTTATTCTAAACTGAAGTTTATTTTGACTGAACTGACTAATCTTTTTATGAGACTAATATTAAAGAATAACAGGATGTGTCTGCTGTATTAAAAGGATACAAATACGACTTGTGAGAAGAATGTTTTGATTAAGTGTATAAAAAACAAGAAAATTCAGTGAAAAAAATCAGAAAATTTTCAGAATTTTTTTTCACTGAATTTTCTCATTTTTTATCCATTTTACAAAACAAACCTTCTCACAAGGCTTTTCTAGGCACATAAGAGCACTCTTTGTGCAAAACTGGAAGATATAGACAATATGGGGAAGGAGTGATTCTTGTTTGAAAAATAACATGTGACTCAATTGAGGAATGCAAAAAAATTCCCATCATGCACCCTGGCCTTAAAAGGTTATTTCAATATGTTTAGGGTCATTCTGACCATGCACATTGTGATCCTGGTCATGTAAATGATATGTGGAAATAGTTAAATTGACTGGAGGTCAAACCAGAACTCTGTTATCTTTGTTCAAAAAATGTCTAAAAATGCAAAATATTTTTTCACTTCCTGTTTCGTCATTTCCTGTTAACTTCCATGGCACCTTAACACTGTTATATGTTTTAAAATTTTATCTTAAAGATTTCTATGTCTATATGTCGGTCAATAGCGCTTGCGCTAATGTTTATTGTACAAAAATTATCCGACTTGAAATAAATAGATAGGCCTATTGATAATTCTGGAAAATACTCTTGAATAAAAATAGATGACATGAACTTACTTCGGTCCAAAGCCTTCTCTATATTCCGGCTTTGAGGAGGAAGATTGAGCTGCCTTAGTATTATGAATATTGTAAATCATTGTGTCACACGCACAGTAAATATGGCATAATAATATGAAATATACCTTTATGTATAGATTTGAAGAACACCAGCTCACATCCCCGTCTGAATCTATTGTTATATTTGATTTCTTTAAGCGAGAATAATTTCAAATGTTATTCACGTCCAGAACCGGAAGCCATTTTTAGCTACAGCGAGAAAATTTCACCATGTATTGAAACTCCGAAATGAAATTTTGAAATATCTAAATCCAGACAAGCAACGCTTCATCCTAAATATGATTAATATTCTTAAAAATATTTATAAAATTTATTAAAAATGAGTTCTAGGTGCGTGTAGGTGCGTGTAGCACAGTACATACGAAATCAATGAAGTTTCGTCTAGCTGTAAGCTAGAGACTCGAGTAAACATGAACACAGATACATACCGTCGTCCATTTCCACCTTTCTCTTGCCATCACTATCGCCAAATATTCCTTTGACCATTGGATGGAATATTCTTGGATACAGGGTGAGGAAACATCCCATTATTATGGCAATAACAGCCACTGTTTTGATCGTAATCATCTCCATCTTGGTTGTCACTCAAATCTCGCAAGGGCTAAATTGGTCACGTGATAAATCAAAGAATACTTTTGTTTTCCTTATTTCTCTAAATTTCCCAACAAATTACCTCACAAATATGTAACCGTATGTTGGAAAATTATGCAAGGATACACTCAGGAAATTTTCAAGTACTTAACTTATCTATTTACGGAGAAATAAAGATTTTAGCTAACTAGGTCATGGGTGGGAAAGAACGAGATCCAAATTCAACATGGCGCTCACGCTGAAAGAACTTGCTTCACTTTTGAGGTAATTTATGATTTTATCTATAAGCCTTAATATATAACGTAAATAAGACGGGAACATTTGAATCTAGATATTGAACTTTCTTTCCGAGATTGACTAGACTAATTGATTTGATTAGATCTATTTATAAATGAATTTCATGGTTGCAGATTTATTTTCATTTTTACTAGACTCTACAGTCATTGCCGTCCAACTGTCCCGCAATTTGCGTAATTGACGCATTTGCTGGAAAATTTGAAGTCACGCCAGTTTTTTTGCTTGACAAATTATGTCACGCAAATACGCATTTTAGGGAGAAGGGGTGTAACGTTGACCACATTTTGGGGTATCTTCGACATGTGGGGTAACTTCCACATGTGGGGTAACTTCGACACCTTATCCCGTACCAGGACTATAGTCCTGTATGGAGTGCACTCTTTTGCCTGTACGATTACAACTTGGGAGAATTATCTACGCCCCTTACACTTAAGATACCTACCTCAATGCATTATAGAACTCAAAATGTAACTTTTAATATATTGGAACCGCCGATTGTCTGGGTATATCGGCAGAACGGGAACATTTTTCTTTTTCATCGAGAGAGATTCCATCACTTTTCAACATGGCGGTTGGATTTAAAAGGGGAATCCCCCGTATGACTGTCCCGGATGTGGACCGGAAGTACCAATATGGAGGAATTTGACGGTTGAAATAAGTTAAATGTTACACGCAAATATTGCAATCAAAAACGAAAATGTCTTCGTTCTGCCGATAAACCCAGACAATTGTGGATTCAACTACACGAAAAGAATGCTAAAATACCAAGGAATCTATTGAAGTAGGTATCTGAAGTGTAAGAAGCGTAAAAAATTCTCCCATGTTGTAATCGCACAGGCAAAAGAGTGAGATGTTCACAGGACCATATTCCGGGAACAGGATAATCGACACCTTGTTGTTTATTTACTCTAATTTCTGATCTAGGGGGAAAGCCATGTTTTTTCTCTTATTGATCGAGATCGCGCGAGAAATCACACTTGGCAGAAATCGGAAATTCCACTTTGATTAAGTAAGTGTCAAAGTGTACCCCCTCTCTTATGTCGACATTACCTCACATGTCGACGTTACACCCCTTTGCCCTACCTAATTATTGTCAAGCAAAAATATTTCTGTAAAAAAACTTCAAATAAGTGATCACCAACACAGCAAAAATACGAAAGTGGAACGCATTTCATTCGGACTTTTCAAGCGGACACCGTATATGTCACACATTTTTCTCTAAATATTTCCTACCTACCTTTTTTGAAGTAAGATAACAGAGTTCTGCTTTGATCTTCAGTCAACTGTTATACTACCATATATCATTTACATGGCCAGGATCACAGTGGTCATGGTCAAAATGAGTACCAATACCATGTTGAAATAGCTTCTTCAACCCTCTGAAAATGTGACTGTAAAAAGTTAAAAGTTAGCGTTCCGGAAAGGTCACTTAACAGAATATTTTGAATTTTTCAGAAAAGGTGCCTAACATGTTGTTATGTCACCACCAAAAGTGGTGACATATTGTTATGGTCTCCGTTTTTTTGCGACGGCGTCCGGCGGTTGGTGGTTGGCGTCCGGTGTCCGGCGGTTGGCGTCCGGCGTCTGTAACAATTTCTTACAACTTCCTATAACATAACAAATACTGTTTAGATTGACTTCAATTTTTTTCTAAATCATCTACATGTTCTCAGAAGTTCAAATCTGACTTTAGATTTGACATTTGACCTTCAATGACCTTCTCAAGGTCAAAAAGGTCTTTTATCAACTTGCTTCACATTGACTAAATTTTTTTTCAAAATCATCTACATGTTCTCAGAAATTCAAATCTGACTTTAGATTTGACTTTAGATTTGACATTTGACCTTCAAATCTGACTTTAGATTTGACATTTGACCTTCAATGACCTTCTCAAGGTCAAAAAGGTCTGTTTTCAACTTGCTTCAAATTGACTAAATTTTTTTTTCAAAATCATCTACGTGTTCTCAGAAATTCAAATATGACTTAAGATTTGACTTAAGATTTGACATTTGACCTTCAATGACCTTCTCAAGGTCAAAAAAGGTCAAAAAGGTCTGTTTTCAACTTGCTTCAAATTGACTAAAAAAAATTTTCAAAAACATCTACGTGTTCTCAGAAATTCAAATCTGACTTTAGATTTGACTTAAGATTTGACATTTGACCTTCAATGACCTTCTCAAAGTCAAAAAAGGTCAAAAAGGTCTTTTTTTCAACTTGCTTCAAATTGACTAAATTTTTTTTTCAAAATCATCTACATGTTATCAGAAATTCAAATCTGACTTTAGATTTGACATTTGACCTTCAATGACCTTCTCAATGTCAAAAAAGGTCAAAAAGGTATTTTTTCATCTTGCTTCAAATTGACTAAATTTTTTTTTCAAAATCATCTACATGTTCTCAGAAATTCAAATATGACTTAAGATTTGACTTTAGATTTGACTTTAGATTTGACATTTGACCTTCAATGACCTTCTCAAGGTCAAAAAAGGTCAAAAAGGTCTTTTTTCAACTTGCTTCAAATTGACTAATTTTTTTTTTCAAAATCATCTACATGTTGTTAGAAATTCAAATCTGACTTAAGATTTGACATTTCACCTTTAATGACCTTCTCAAGGTCAAAAAGGTCTGTTTTCAACTTGCTTCAAATTGACCAAATTTTTTTTCAAAATCATCTACATCTTTTCAGAAGTTCAAATTTGACTTTACAAGTTCTCAGAAGTTCAAATCTGACTTTAGATTTGACCTTTGACCTTCAAGGTCAAAAAGGTCTTTTTCAACTTGCTTCAAATTTACTTAATTTTTTTTTCAAAATCATCTACATGTTCTCAGAAGTTCAAATCTGACTTTAGATTTGACATTTGACCTTCAATGACCTTTTCAAGGTCAAAAAGGTCTTTTTTCAACTTGCTTCAAATTTACTTAATTTTTTTTTCAAAATCATCTACATGTTCTCAGAAGTTCAAATCTGACTTTACATTTGACATTTGACCTTCAATGACCTTCTCAATGTCAAAAAAAGTCAAAGAGGTATTTTTTCAACTTGCTTTAAATTGACCAAATTGTTTTAGGTGGTGACATTTTGTCATGTTAATGCCTTGTTTTAAATGATATGAGCTTTGAAAATTTGAATTTATTTCTAGAAATAGAGAAAAAGTGAAAAAAAAGTTTCTAATTTTCAAAGCTCCTATCATTTAAAGCAATATGAATTGGGGACTTTTTCTGAAAAATTTAAAATATTCTATTCAGTGACTTTTTGGAAGTGCTAACTTTTTTCAGCCACAATTTCATAGGGCTGAAAAATCTATTTCAGCATGGTATGGGTCATTTTGACCATGGCCATTGTGATCCTGGTCATGTAAGTAATATATGGGAGTAGTAAAACTGATTGAAGGTTAAAGCAGAACTCTGTTATCTTACATGTAGTTCAAGAATTCTAAAATCCACATGTTTTTATCATTTCCTGTTTGGTGTAAATTCCTGATAACTACCCCGAGACTTTAACATGATGAAATAACTTTTTCAGCCCTCTTAAAATCTGACTGCATGATAGCTAAAAGTAGCCCCTCAGGAAAGGTCACTGAACAGAATCTTTTGAATTTTTCAGAAAATGTGCCCAATACAATTGCTCTAACTGATACAATCTTTAAAATTTTAGAAAGTCTGAAACAAAAATGGTAGGCATAAAAAGGAAAAAACATGTAGATTGGTTTTCAATTCAGTTTTTTTATTTTGCACCAAATGATATCACATTGTCAAAGATAGTATCATTTAGAGCAATATATCTGGCACATTTTCAGAAAAATTCAAAAGATTCTGTTCAGTAAATGCCAATCGGTGTCTGGCATCCTGGGTCTGGCAATCAGAGTTGGCATCTGTAATAAATGGCAGGTGGTGACATTTTGCATGTTAATGCCATGTTTCATTTGAAGTCACATTTTACTTAAATTTGCCAGATCTACCCATATGGTTCACCTTCTGTGTGGTAAACTATGACAACTATGTGTTTGTAAAATGCAGTATTACACGTAGCATCAATATTACTTATTAACATATTTTACCCAGATATGCAGTTTGTTTCTTCCATTCATTCTTCCATTTCTGTATTATGTTTCAGTGTGTTGCCAGAGGATGCCTTGACTAACAGAACATTTGAGAATCTTGCATCTGGATTCCACTACTATTTTCAGAAGAATGATCACTTCAAAGTTGGCACTGCCTTGGTATAGTATACAATTTGCTTTCTTCTTTGTTACTCTCATTATAAATGCTTATGGTTATTCTAACTTTTTTGGCTTCTAAATCACCAACAGTGACTTAATTGTATCTCTCGACATAACAATGCTTCCAGAATAATTGTCAGTTTGTTAGGAACCTGATACCATTTCAGATTATAGCAAATACAAGCAAAAATGCCCACAAGTGTTGTAGTCTCCAACTTTTTGTGAATGGTGTTCATCAGTTGGTGTTTGGCATTTGGAATCTGTAGCATATGGCAGTTGGTGACAATTTGCATGTTAATGCCTTTATAATGTCTTTTCAGGTCCTGTTGCTACAGAACAATGATCTTCTTCCCCACCCTTCACAGAGGTTGGCTGCAGTCTTTCTCTTGTATGAGATGTACAAAACTGAACCAGTCTCCGTCAACCCATTTGCTTCCATCTTTGTCCATTTGTTGGTGAGTGATTTCATATTTACATATGTCTATTATACATTGAAAATGTGACATATTTATTTTGTATTTACATGTGTCTATCAGTCTATGGTACATTGAAAATGTGACAATAATTTATTTTATATTAGTTTATATGTGTCTATAGGACATTTAGGACATTATAAATTTTCAATTCAAAACACATTAAAACAGATGTAATTTAAGTTAAAGGGAACTTTCTACTATACCCGCCATGTTATCTGACCCGAACGAGCCACCTGGTGGCGAAACTGGTAACTACCTACTCGCATCTGCCTTATTCATTAATTTACTGTCAACAATTTCAATAGAAAAATCACTTCATTAATTGCAGCATTTTAACTGAATCATTAATTGACTTGTTGGAAAAACAAGTGTGTTGTGATAATTACACTATACAAAATAATTGTACAGTGTTCAGGCGCACAGCTGGTATGACTGCATCCAAAGGCATTGATTTCCTTATTTACAGAATCCACCATCAGATGGCAGTGAGGGTACAGAATACCACTGGGCAATAACTCGAATCTCTCCATCAGAACGCTACTTTCTGGCACAACTTATATCTAGCCCTTCCAAAGAGGTACAGTTTAGTTGAGTCATTAAAGGCAGTGAAATTTAAAAATAACAAATCTCTGTCCATTCAAGGGTCAAAACATGAAGCTAGGTTTCCCATAACCAAGAATTTTTCCAAGCTTTGATGTGTTTGTACTAGCCTTTTAAAAGTGTTAAGTTTAGCTAATTAATTGTATGACCTATAAGTAATTTCCAAATGATATACTTTTTCAGTTATTCAAGAAGACCCCTCAAGATGTGCTTAACATGGATGTCACCAACATGCAAGTAAGTGAAGTGTAGAGAGGATAGTACATTTACAAAGATTTGAATGACAAATTAGTTTGATGATGCAGAGTACATGTGGCCTTAATAAGATGTATATAATGTACATAGATGTATATAATGTACATAGAGGACACCTATGAAGCCTTTGATGACTGAGTTCCTCATGTATGACCTATATTGCTATGAATTAAATGCAACAATCTATTGTTAAAACACTTGCTAAAATAGCCACACCCAAAGCACGAGTGACTCATAAACTAACCATGCGAATCATGTAATGTTTTAGTCATTTGATGTGAGTGCCCTACAGTTGGCCTTAGCAGAGAGGCAGTCTGAGACCCCAGCCCCCAGTAAGACTGGCCTACCTATCATTGTACCTGATCCAGACACTAAACCACTCAAGTGAGTCAATTTGCATGAATGTGTTTTATTCAAATTAAGATCACCTTTGCACAAAAAATTGTGTGCATAACATTAAGATATAACCTTTGCATTGCATTTATAAATCTCTCTGACTGAGATTTTTTTTTATTTATAGTTAATTTTTTTCACAAAAATCTATAATTAATACAATACAATTTGGCAAGGCTCAAAGAGCATTATTAGCCAAGTATGAATGCAGTATACATGAGATTACATTGTACTAATATGAAAATATTATAAATAAATATCCTATTTGTAGCATGGAATACTATCCACCATAGTCATAGAGATGTACACTGTTTGTTTTAGTTTTGAGCAGTTTGGGAAGTCAGGCTCAGTAAATCCTGATGTTCAGCGTCAGACCATGGAATCTCTACTAATGGGACCAAGTCCACCAATAGAAAAATGTATGAAACCTGAGTTCATACGCCTCGCCCCACCCCTCCACATAGCTGAGGATGAGGTGTGTAAATTAAAAATTACAATTTGCAAATGTTTAGTTTTGGAGATGATACACCCTCTTTTAAACACATACGCTTGTATACTCCCAAAATGAAAGATCAAAAATGTTTTTTTGCTTTAGTGGCACCATTTTGTGGGCTCATATACAATACTATAATACCATACAATACTATACAATACGATAATACTATACAGATGAGCCAACTTGTTAATCCATATCCTTCCAGTTCATTTTAATTCAATCAATTAGAAATACTTTGTATATATAATTGAATTTAAAACATTGACATATTTATTTGAAAAAAGCCTCCTCAGATGCTTCTCTCTTACCAAAGACCCTTTACCTTTTTATGGCAATAATTGATAGCAGTTTACACACTTTGGTTTCCAGTTAGTGTGGCTAGGGCCAGTTGAACCAGATCACAAGGTACTATGGGACAATTCTATGTGTATAGCTAATTCTGCAGGATCAGAGGTGAGACCTTCAAGTGAATTAAGAAGTATAATATCATAATAACTTCTATGTACATGTGGCAAATATCCACAATTAAAAAATTCTATATAATTCAATGAAATGCAATAGAAATATTTACAGCCAGTCTTATGGTTCAAAGAGTCTACTGAAAAGGTGTGTTTTTACTGTCAGATGCAGATTTTAGAATTGTTAACTCAACATTCATAACATTTCATTATAATGTATGTTAAACATACAATTTCAGGTGCGTAAACTGATGGTTAAAGCATTCAAAACAACACTTGTTTTACACCAACAACAGCAACTGTTAGCAGAGCTAGAAAAAGACCCTAAACTAGTCTATCACATAGGGCTTACTCCAAACAAGGTTTGTATTCAGCTAGATTAGTCTATCACATAGGACTCATTCCAAACAAGTAAACTATAGCTCAGTATTAAAGATAGTGTCACAGGCCAGTTTACAGATGTTTGAACTTGTGTCTCTAACAATAGAAATGGCCCCCAGCCATAGTCACTATGAGACACTTTAGAAAAATGAAATGCACCAAATAGCTAAAATGAAAGTTGTTCCTGTTATATAATGTTTCAGTTGCCTGACCTCGTAGAGAACAACCCCCTCGTTGCAATAGAGGTGCTTTTACGTCTAATGCAGTCCAACCAAATCACCGATTATTTCTCAGTGTTAGTTAACATGGAGATGTCTCTACATTCTATGGAGGTGGTTAACCGACTAACAACAGTAAGTTATGGTATATGTGCATGTAGTACAACTATTCTTAATTACATATGATAAACAGTAAAACCTGTCTCATCAGACATCACTGGCGCCAGCCAAACGTTTTTGGAATAGCAAATATTTTAGGTTTCTTAAACATTAGAGAGTCAATGGGACAAAATTTGGAGTTAAATTTTATCTAATTATCCATTCATTTTTTAATGTCAATAGAAAACTTGGAGATATCTCTTACATGTAAAAAAAGACTTGAAAAAATTGGGAGATATCACAAATAAAAGAACAGATCTGCTAATGTATGTATATATTTATTGCCCTTTATATAAAGGAGATACATGTATACAATTTGTGTAAATGTTAAATTGAAAATAATCACTATTTACAAACAAACAATATTTTTTGACTGACGACGACGCCTAGCTACCGCGTAAACGCACGCCGCCGAATGTAATCAGGAGAGGGCAAGGAAGGTTTGTATACCTAAGTTTTATGTAACTCATACCTGTACCTGTTCATTCCAGGCTGTTGAGTTACCACCAGAGTTCATCCACCTTTACATTTCCAATTGTATATCTACCTGTGAGACTATCAAGGATCGCTATATGCAGAATCGCCTGGTGCGACTGGTCTGCGTCTTTTTACAATCTCTTATTAGGAACAAAATCATAGATGTAAAGGTATGTAAGACAAAGGTCTAAACCATATAGCAAGGGTCTAAACCATATCATGGGTCTTAACAAAGGTCTAAACTATATCAAGTGGTCAATATTGAGATATTAGATGTATGATGGTGAAGATATTTTATGAACAAGTTAACAATTGTTGGTTGAGTTGTGCGCGGCAATAATTGGAGTGGATCAATTCTAGACTTGAGTGCAAGACTTGAGAGAACTGAATTTTTTGTGACCATATACTATCTTGCTTTCCAGGATATTTTCATTGAGGTGCAAGCATTCTGTATTGAGTTCAGCAGAATACGAGAGGCAGCTGGCTTATTTAGACTTTTGAAAACTTTGGACAATGGTGGGGAACAAACATCACCTCCTGCAGGCAGTAAATGATAGTGCAAGTCATGGCAACAGTAAATGATAATGCAAGGTCATAGCCAATGTCATGGCAACAGTAAATGATAATGCAAGGTCATAGCTAGGGGTGAGACGAGTCGAAAAAATCCGATTCGAGTCGAATCCGATTCGAGTCAGAAAATGACGATTCGAGTTTCGAATCCGTTTCGAGTCGCGAAAGTGCGAACAACATCGCTTTTGACCGTTCGTATTTTTAATGCGTCAATGGTGGAAAGCCGGAAATATAAACAAACACAATTCGTCGTAAGTTTATTCTGATTTTATTACATATATTCTTTCATTTATGTGTACATACAATATAATAATTTAATATAAGCATATCCAAGTCATTGAAACTTATATATTCAACGCAATATCGAGTAAAAACATGCATATTGACAGTATTTTTCTGAATTTTTTTATTTTTTCGAATTTTTTTCTCAACTCGAAAATGATTCGATTCATCAACTTCGACTCGATTCGACTCGACTCGAAGCCCCAACCCAAGAGTCCTCGACTCATCGGGTTGTCGTCTCACCCCTAGTCATAGCCAATGTCATGGCAACAGTAAATGATAATGCAAGGTCATAGCCAATGTCATGGCAACAGTAAATGATAATGCAAGGTCATAGCCAATGTCATGGCAACAGTAAATTATAATGCAAGGTCATAGCCAATGTCATGGCAACAGTAAATGATAATGCAAGGTCATAGCCAATGTCATGGCAACAGTAAATTATAATGCAAGGTCATAGCCAATGTCATGGCAACAGTAAATGATAATGCAAGGTCATAGCCAATGTCATGGCAACAGTAAATGATAGTGCAAGTCATGGCAACAGTAAATTATAATGCAAGGTCATAGCCAATGTCATGGCAACAGTAAATGATAATGCAAGGTCATAGCCAATGTCATGGCAACAGTAAATGATAATGCAAGGTCATAGCCAATGTCATGGCAACAGTGAATGATAGTGCAAGTCATGGCAACAGTAAATGATAATGCAAGGTCATAGCCAATGTCATAGCAACAATGATAATAATCCAAGGTCATGACAACTGTGAATGATAATCCAAGGTCATAGCCAACATCATGGCAACAGTGAATTATAGTACCCATGGAAAGGTGTCATGGTGATCCAGCTTTAAAATGGTGGAGAATTGCTGATGAGAAATAAACATTCATAATGAAAAAGTCCGTACTTAAAATTGTAGAAATACATGTGGTTATTTGCTTGCAAATTGACTTTAATGTAATGTAATGTTTGAGATAGATGTCGCATCATACATATTGCTAGTTTTTGAAATAGCCGTCAGAGGCGGGGCATATCCATGGCTATGTTAGGGTATGACTCGAGTAAGTACTCGGGCCATTCGTTTAGAATTGGCGGAGCAACTTCAGGTGGCAACGTTGGTCTGAAAGACTGGGAGATAAAAGCCATGGGGAGGTGGTCTAGCCAATGTTATCAACGTTATGTGCGTACGTCAGTCGACTACTTGAGCAAGTTATCAGCTAAATTAACTGAATGTTGATATTAAAGGGTATGATATTATTGATATGTGATAACTCTGAAATGATATGTTATGGATGTAAGTAATTGTTGGGCGATCTTTGGGCGGTTTTTATAAAAGTGTTTATGTTCTTGTTATTTTACGTTTACTTAGTATAATAAAGCATCCGCTCATTTTAAGCCCAACACATTTCTTACTGTTTCAATATTTGTTATTATTTTGATATGCAATAACATTAATGGTTATTTGCTTGCAAATTGACTTTAATGTAATGTAATGTTTGAGATAGATGTCGCATCATACATATTGCTAGTTTTTGAAATAGCCGTCAGAGGCGGGGCATAGTGAACAAAATTTTTCCACGCCCACCCACCCTGTACATGTACTTCATTAATTCATTCGACATATATTGTACAAACGTTTAAAGGGCGGTTTTTATAAAAGTGTTTATGTTCTTGTTATTTTACGTTTACTTAGTATAATAAAGCATCCGCTCATTTTAAGCCCAACACATTTCTTACTGTTTCAATATTTGTTATTATTTTGATATGCAATAACATTAACCAAAAAACAATGCAGTTCATACAAATCAAGAGAACTGATGTGGCTTACTTGAATTGAAAGAAAATATAAGAAACGGGAAAACTAGATATGAAAAACAAAAAGGATGCATAATTCAAGGACTTGCATTTAGACAACAGCAATATATCTAGAAAATATATCTAGAAATACATGAATGCTTTATGCATTTATCCAATAAAATTGATGTTATTCAAATTGTTAATTCTTTGAATTGTTTTAGTTAAAGTCCTAAATCCAATGACTTTTTCCTCTTTTTCCAAACTGTGAGGGAGAACACATCTGAGTGAAGTTGATGGGTCAAGCTGTAAGAATATTAACTTACTACAAATTAACAACATCAAAATACAGGTCTTTCATTCAATATCTCTATAGCCATAGTGTTGAAGTTCAAAACTTAAGGCTTGAATTCTGAAAATAAGCAATCTCCCTACTTTACTTTAAATTTTTGCAAATTATCCTCCCACTGCACTCACAAAACAATTTCAGTCCTCATTCTATGCGTAGTTTAAAACTAGTGACAAAACTGAAATTCTGTCAAACCTGGAAGCTATTGATGATTAACTTTCAGTTAAATCGAATTGAAATCTGTGAATAAAATAAACCTTTCTGAGACTAAATGCTAGGAATTGTGTTCAAATATTAACATTTGTGTTAGAAGAAAGTAAATTTAATTTTGTGAGAGGGAAAGGTTGTAAAATATATTTCATCAGTTAATTTTAAAAAAGTGTGAGCAAAACACAGAAAAATCAAGTAAAGTGAAAGGCACTGCATTTCAAACTTAGTACATGACACATGAGGAGAGGGTTTAAAATCATCCCATAAATGAACAAAAAAGATAATGTATAGAATTTTATTTTATTTTTCCAAATATATATTCCCAAACTACAGAATAGAACAACACGAGTTCAACATGTAGTGTACTGCAATATCAAACACTGGAGTCGACTGACTTTTTTCAATACGACCCTTATAACAAGATTTAATTCAATTTAAAGGACAACTGAAATAGGTTTCCTCAACTTGCAGCTACAAAAATGCGGTTTTCTTCATTGTAAGCCCAATGTAGAGTTCTTGCGATTGCCATTATAAAAGAAATGTTAGATGACTGTTAATAGTCCTAAATAACGTAATAAAATTAACTGATCAATCAGATTGGTCCCCACGTGTTTAGTAATGTCATATATAATATATCGTTTTGGTTTATTGGTTCCTTGGTAATCACGATGTCATGTCAACCATGTGATTGTTGTGTTAACAAATAACAAAACATCCTGACATTATGACATCATGATTTAAAGGACCAAAACGGGCCACGTGGGGACCAGTGAGAGATCACGTGGGGGCCAATAACGTAACAACCTATTCGAATATTGCTTATTAAGCAGCTATAACGATCGTTAGAGTGAAATAATTTTCACAATAAACATGTCCAAATAAATTTATCAAAAAATTCTATTGATTCCTTTAGATCAAAAATACCATTTCATATCTGCTTTATTATTTAATGTTTTCATTTACAATTAAATTGACTGAATATGATATAATGCTTACATGTCTTACATGTATTATATATTATATCGATAGTATACAGGAACCTAAAGGATAGGTATCGATATGGTGAACTGAATTCAACAAGGTTTTTCTCTTAAACCAATTATTGAAAAATTCTGTAAAAAAAACTGGTCCTTTATGTAATGTTGACTGATTGACAACAATTTAATGCGATAATTATCTATATATATTTTATATAACTGTTTTTGTTAACATTTTTTTGTTTTTTAGTGCAATTGTTTTTTGTTCCTTTCTACCAATTTTTGAGAGTGAAAAAATGTCTTTCCGAACTTTGTTGGAACAAAATAGCATATCCAACATTTTCTTAGACCTCTCAATATTATATAGTTATACAAAGGAAATTTAGGTTAATTTAAGCAAAAGTTCAAAAAATAAAAACAAAATCCCCAATATAGACAAAAATTAAGATAAACCTTTTCTTTCATTAACAAGATACCTTTTTAAAATCAATCAAACTTTCCTTTGTACAATTACAATATTGAGAGACCTAAACACGTTTTGTTTATGTCATTTTGTTCCAATGAGGTTTGGATAGATGTTTCATTTCATTTCGAACATATGATACCAAGAACAAAAGAAGTGTCTGATGTGTTTTCTAAAACAATATTGAGAAAAGTATACATATTTTTTTCAAATTATATCGTTAACATTCAAAAAATGACCATTAAATTAACAATGTGTAAAATTTTCAGAATTTTTTGATGACTGATTTAAGAGAAACGTGTTCTCAAAAAGTTCACCATATCGATACCAATCCTTTGTCCTGTGACTAGTATTCCAATGTAAACAACAAAATTGAGGTGCGGATTATGCTAAGAATTATGAATATGTGCTTTTGTCTTGAAAGGACATTCAGGATTGCAACAAACAAAACCAATAACATACAACATGTCACCACCTGCCATTTGTTACAGATGATGCATGCTAACTTCCAAACAACGTCCACAAAAAAGTTTGAGACTATAATAATAACATAACAATATGTCACCACCTGATGGTAATGGTAACATAAAATTTGTGAAGGCAAGTATATGTTGTTACAATGCCCATATGAACATATACAGGGTGACCTCTAATTTTGGAATAACTTAAAATATTACAGAACTTGGTGATTTATTTTCTTTGTGGAGATTGAGGGTTAAATATAGAAAACAGAGATGTACTTATATTGTACTTTTGATTTTTACATTTAGAGCAATTACGGTTTGTGTCCAGGTATGCTTTCATGTGAAATTGTCCAAAAATGTTCAAAAACACAATTTTCTGAAAATGGGATGTCTGACTTAACCATTACACGGGGGTAAAGCCACGATGATACCATGAGCACATGCTTTGAGGATCCGCGTTGTTTGAACCTACCGCCGAGCTCACTTATACATGAAGACCCATTACACAGTCATGATACCGCCGAGCAAGCTCATTGCATCATCGGGTCTGCTTTACCCCCGTGCAATATTTGGATTGCTTTCACAAATATTAGCAATAATTAAGGATTTGAGCCCTGGAGTCAGTGTATTGCTGCGCAGTCATGCAAAGTTTAGGAAACAATGCCTGAGTAATATGAAGCAGTCACAATGCATCAAGTCTTGGGCTTAAATTCTTTTCACACACTGTAAAATATTTTCTAAAAAATATATTTTCAATGAAACTTTTTGCAGAGGTGAAGTTGGCAAAGCATGAATTTCAATAGGTGAGTCCAGTTATCACCTTGATAACCATCGAACAAATGAGTTATTGGTTAAATAATGGAATGCAGATACATGAAATAGCATGTTCTGATTGGTTGGAATTGGACACACCTTGTCTATGCGTGAATATGTCATATCTACCCATCTTTCTAAATAATCTTGACCAACACAATGAACTGACTTGCTTATTAGAGAAAGTTATTCAAACACTAGAGGATAACTTTTTTTGGGATCATCCTACAGTAAAACCTGTATATCCGAACAACTCTCTAATTTGAATATCTCTCAATGTGAACTCTTTTGGTTGGTTCCATTTTATTAATCTGGCATAGACTTCTAATTCTATACACTTAAAATGAGAACACCTGCCTATCTAAACAATTCTGACCAGTTCCAGCACTGGTGATCCACTCTATTAAACAGGTTACCGAAACTGTTCGTTTTGGTAACAAAATGTCGGAACATCGAAGGTACGATTTTTGTTTTTTCCCTAATTCATACGTTGTAGGCAGAATTCCCACGACATTTTTATCACAAACATGTATCAGTATCATATGTTTAAGAGAATGTACATATTTGTGAACAAATAGTTCAGAATACAACAGAATTGTTGATTTAATTCCTCACTTAAGTTACATAAACGGTATTTCGAAAAACAGTTAAGATCTGCACTTTTAACCCAAACCGTTTATGTAACTTAGGAGAGGAATTAAATCGACGATTCTGTTGTCTTAATCTGAACTATTTATTGCAAACATGTACATTTTCTAAAACATATGATACGGATACACGTTTGTGTGAAAAAAAGTCGTGGGGATTCTGCCTACAACGCGTGAAATAAGGAAAAAACAAAAATCGTACCTTCAACATTCCAACATTTTGTTACCAAACCGAACCGTTTCGGTAACGAGCGTAATCGAGCGGATCACCAGTGTCCAGGAGTGTTTGGATTAGGACAGAGTTCACTCTACATCTTCTAGCTGCATAGTTCTAATATCAATTGATGATAGCATAGTAAAAGGAATATAGATGAACAATTTGTCTCTTATAAAATATTGTCTCTTAGATATATCTGTGTTTACATGATTTAACACATGTAATAATGGAAGACATAAATTCTCCCTGAAGAATGTACAATATTCTTTTATGTGCACACATTAATAATATATGTACATGTACACATACTATTCACAACAAATTTTTACATGAGTTGTACAACAGTTAAAAGCCCCAGTAAATTATTAATAAATACAAAAATATCATCATTTGAGCAACATTCAACTATTAACATCTCCCGCCTCGGTTAATTTAGTTTTCCTACATGAAGTCTTTGTTCGTATATGATCAACTAAGAACAGGAAAGATGCTAGAAATGAACATGCACCACAGAACCAATAACTCCAGTTATAGCTCCCTGTTTTGTCTTTGAGTAACCCAGCTACTGTGGGACCTATCATTGCCCCAACCCCATTGAATAAATTCATTAGCCCCACAGAACTTGCAAGTTTATCCACACCCAGCATATCAGCTAATACTACAGCCCGTTGAGCGATCATCATTCCACACGAGAGCCCATTGAGGACACTGAAGAGGACTAATGTTTCATATGTGTGTGCAAACGGAAACATGAATGAGCTTATTCCAGTAGCAAGCATTGTAAAGTTAAAAACGTGTCTACGAATATCTCGTATGTATCTTGCGTCCATTATGAAACCTGATGCAAAACGTGTGATGACATCGGATATGCCAACGATTGACACGAGGAATGCACCTCTCCATTCGTCAATTCCCTTCTCCTTTGCAAGAGCCGGAATGAGCATCTGGGATGATATGTAGTTCATTACATTTAGTCCCATAGCTATGCCAAAAAGCATAAAACCAGTATGCTTTAATAAATCCAAGTCAATCAATTTTTTTGAATTTTTTTCCTCCTTTCCATTGCAAAATGATTTTATGGATTCAAAACATGAAGTCCTCTTTCCTTCAGGCTCATTAGTCTTTTTGTATTTACGTGTTTTCTTTTTTAGTTTTGGTGACATACTTTGGTTAATATCAACCATTGAATCACTTAGTCCAGACTCCAGACCAAACTCCCTTGACGAATAAATAGTAGCACCACTTTCCTTACGTATCTTTTTGAGTTCATGAAGCTTTACTGGTTCCTTATCATGACCTCGTTCAACATCTTTCTGCTCTCCCATTGCTAGAAGTTCCTTGGTTTCTTCTTTGGTTGCTTTTATGAATTTTCTGGGTCTTTTCTGTCGTTCAAGGGGTCTGTATAAGGCCCCTGCAACCACATTATTTAACTGCACAGCACCTAGCATTAACATAGCACCAGAGTATGTGTACTTCTTCAATAAATATTCGATGAATGGTGGAAAGCAGAAGGCACCTAGTCCTGATCCTGCTGATGCAATACCAGTTGCGATTGCACGTCGCTTGTTGAAATACTGCCCAACTAGGACGAGGCCTGGTGTATAAACCAAAGAGCCACCCAATCCTGAAATGTAATGTGAAAAAATTCAATATGAGAATACACTTAATCCCAAATTTTGAAGTAAAAAGTATTAATTACTATCCTCTGCCTAGAATTGAAAATGTTACCATTTTGATGCTAATAACATCTCAAGTATTTTCATTATGAAATGATTGTCAGCTACTTATGCAATCATATATTTCTGTGACTAAATTTTTGATTTAGTAGGTGATCATCTAAAACCCAGCTTGTCAAATCTTCTTTTCGGCTGTTGGGAGTTTTTGGGAATGTCTGGTAATCAAGTCTTACCTGCTAGGAGTGAGTAGCTGAAGAATAGATATGAGAGATGTGGCGGATAGGCACTGATCATAACCCCCACACTCATGAGCAGACCCCCTACTATAACAACACGCCTTGCACCAAACCTATTCATCAGTATTGCACTGAATGGACCTAAAATGAATTATCAATTATGTAAAAGTCAGTCTTATGAGAGTTTTCACTCGTTCAATAGCAATTTTACTCAATGTAAAGCCATTTTACTCAACTCAGTTTACTCAATATAACATAATTTACTGGATATAGAGTGTTTCATTCAAAATTGTTCACTGACATCTCAAATTACAATTTACTTTATAATGTACCTACTGTATATAAATTTGATACATCAGTTAACGTGTCCATACAAACTACCAAAGATTCTCATATAAGTGCCCATTACGCAGCAGATTACACGAGAAATAAAAATTCTGTCTGAATGAAAGGCCACAAGCAAATGGCTAATTTCATTATAAGAATCTTTCAATTTTAAGACCCATCTATGCAAAAATGAGTAGACATGAATTAAAGAATCTTTGGTGCATTTAATAGCTTAATTTATACATTGTTCTCTAAGATTTTCCTTTACTCATCAAAATATAAAGTTAACATACTTTTAATCTAAGTAAAATATAAATTGCAATATATAAATGTAGTATATTACTTTTATATATAAAAGGAAAACTACAACAATCTTCAAACATGGAGAATTCACTAAATATTACCTTCTTACAATACATGTGAAGCAAGGTTTGGTTAAAGCCAAAGCAATATATATGATGCAAGGATATTTTAAATTGTCTAGCTACAAGTCTCTGTGACCGCCCCCCCCCCCTCTACTTGACTAAACATCTTTTCACACAGAGTCCTTGTTTGCAAGGGCTTGTAGCTAGACTACATTTGAGCCACAAAGGTGCAAAGGTGAATGACAAAGCAACATTTGAGCAACAAAGGTGAATGACAAAGCAACATTTAAGCCACAAAGGGAAATAAAAAAGCAACATTTAAGTTATCAAGGGAATGGCAAGGCAACATCTAAGCTACAAAAGGTAAATGTCAAAACAACATCTATGCAACAAAGGAGAATGTAAAAATAACAATTAACTAATAATCAACTTTTAATTTAATTATAATTAAGCAACTAATAATAATCATAAAATAAAAAATAAGATAAATAGGGTTGGTATACATGGATTTCAGGAGTTACATAGTCATAGACAACAAATTCAAGTTTTTTTTTAATATGTTAAATCTAAGGGCACACTGGTATATGGCGTGGGAATATGATGTCACAATGAGGTCTTAAGTTTTGCCTCTAAAACATTGCTGGGTGTTTGTTCGAAAATATTTTCATTTTAGCATTTTAGCAATAAAGGTGCTGAAACCTATAGTCTGTGCACCTGCACCAAGCCCAACACAGGTGCTGACATTGATTGTTTGTAAAGCCCATGACAGGTGCTGACATCTATTGTTTGTAAAGCCCATGACAGGTGCTGACATCTATTTTCTGTGAACCCGCACTAAGCCCAAGACGTGCCCACACCTATTGTCTGTGCATCTGTATGTCTGCTTTATGTTATAGAAATGTTACTTGCATGTTGAGCAGGAAAGATAATAAAAGATGTTGCCATAATAAATTTGTTCTTGTGCAAACAGGCCTAAGTGACAGATACAGCAAATGAAAGTGAGAGTTTATATAATTTCAGCCCCAGGCAAAAATGTGTGACCACAATTTTGACAAGGCAACATTTGCCCTGGCTCAGCCCTTGGATGAATCAAACAATTTGTTTTGTTATTTCTTCAGTGCATGTTTGGGATCACAAAAACAATTTTACCTTGCTTGGCATGAAAATAATAGCATACCACATGACTGTATTACATGTATAGTGTTAGATTACTTTTCTGGAATATATAGAAAAAGAAGAAGATGATTATGTAAGAAATAAAAATTAAATAAATAAATACACTCAGCACGCTGTACCTAAGCTAAACCGTACTAGAGTCATAGCCCCCTGTATCCAAGCTGTAAGTGCAGCGCTGGTGTGAAATGTCTCTCGGAGTGATAAATATATCAGGCCAAATGCTCTAGAAATTCCACCTGAAATCATCATTAATTGGGAAAATGTGTGACAAGCCTGAATGTCCAAACACCTCTCAATGTAAAGACCTTTTCTCAGTCCCAAAGTAATCTCTAAGACTCACATATTAGAAAGCCTTAAACTGTTAAACTGTGAACACCGGCTAAACCTAACGTTTTGGTCTGTTTAAATGGTGCTCAGGTTTACCAGGTTTTACTGTGTATGTTGTTTTGTCTTTGGACTGCCTACTTTAAGTCTGAACTGACATTAGATCGCTATAAAATACATTTCATGGTTGCTATAGAAATAAAACTTTACAAGTGGAACTTTAAAAGATTATCTCAATTTCAAAACGGCAGTATTGTATGTAGGTTAACCTTTTAAAGAATGAAACTGGTTGAATGCTTTTGTTCTACAAATGGTTCTTATTCATATGTTAATTGTATTGAAATTAAAACAAGGTATGCCACATGTGTGATATTGCATTATTTCATCTTGGATAAATGGGCCTGCCATGTTTAAAAACAAGTATATGTAAAATGTTGAACTTTGTTTCACTATATGTGAAAAATGGTCTTTTATCAGATGTAGTGAAACTGTTCTGTTAAAAACAATGAATAACAAGTGATATATACGAGGAGATGAACTCACATTCTGGGAACAATATAGATACAAAAATTTATGTTTGATATAATTCTGTTTCCAAAAAGCAAGTAAGCGAAATTGAAAGCACAATTATAAACATATATTAGCGGCAATTGTATGCAAGGTCAAAACAGCCTTTGAAGAAGGTATTTTCTGCTATGACAAATTATGTCATTAGGCCATAAGAAGTAGATTCTTTGTTTTGTGTCCCCTTGCTTGCACGATTTGGAGTAAATCAGAAAATACAAACACATCCAAATAGCAATCACAAGGGTCTGAAAGTACATGAAGTACCATTGCATTTCGTTCAATCAGAATCAGACGAAATGGCGGATAATTTGATGTGCGTCAAAAATTGATTACTTTGGCATACATTGTTTATTTTCTTATTTTTTACCCTTGAATAATAGCTATATGTTTAAACATATTATATAAAATGTATAGATATGTGTTTGTAATCACTACAAATTGGTATGTCATCCCTTTTTATGCCCTTGAAATGTATTCATTTCTCAGCAAACAAGTTTGTGTTTTTTCTTGAGTTTGTGTTTGTTTTCCTTGTTCCCTTGCATGATTTGGATTTTGCCAGGACGCAAAACAGAGAATCTACTTCTTATGGCCTTATCATTAAAAACTAACAATCTACCAATTCGAGCTGACTTAAGGTCACCTCAAGGGACGCCAAGGGTCACATAATCCCCAAAATGACTTAAAGTGAAAAATGCCTAGATATTGATTAACTGTTGACATTAGACTGACCTTGACCCATACAGTTAACCTTGACACAGCACCCCTAAGGGTCTAAAATGCCAAATAAATAGTTTTTGACCTTGGAGAGACCTTGTCCTCTGACCTTCTCATCATTTTTTAAAGGAAGAAGCATGGCTTATAATGGTTTAAGATACACAAAGAGGATTGGACAAAAGGGTCCTGCCTATGCTTAGTCCTCACATATTTTCTTATCCATTTGATGTCATAATACAAAGAACTACTGAATTAGTGGTCTTAAAATGGGCAATTTTTCTGATTTTGTTTCATATTAGAATCTTATCCAAGCCCTTCATTCTATTATTTATGGCAAATGCATAATCTTTGATTTTATGCTGACTTAATGTCTAAATTATACAAAAATCTCGTGGGAATTATACCTAAAGACCTTAAAATACCAGATTAAAAATTTAAAACCAAATCTGCCAAATTAAATACAGGTAGATTATATCGATTGTCAAAAGACAGATGAATGGACTGATGGATGGCTGGGGATGGATGACTTCTCGTTATCCCTATCTTTAGTGGGATAACCTATAAAGGAAACATCTGACGGCAGCAACACTTTGAATGCTTACCCCAAAAAAAACACAAACAGTTTTGTAACCCATGTACAGATGATATAATGCTTGCGTCTGATTTATACATCATCATCATTGCTAAATACAGCATACTAGCTGCATGTTTCAATCCACCTGTACATAAAACATAGACAGTTAGTATCTTCATCATAGCTAAATACAGCATACTAGCTGCATGTTTCAATCCACCTGTACATAAAACATAGACAGTTAGTATCTTCATCATTGCTAAATACAGCATACTAGCTGCATGTTTCAATCCACCTGTACATAAAACATAGACAGTTAGTATCTTCATCATAGCTAAATACAGCAAACTAGCTGCATGTTTCAATCCACCTGTACATAAAGCAGACAGTTGGTATCTTCATCATAGCTAAATACAGCATACTAGCTACATGTTTCAATCCACCTGTATATAAAACAGACAGTTGGTATCTTCATCATAGCTAAATACAGCATACTAGCTGCATGTTTCAATCCACCTGTACATAAAACATAGACAGTTAGTATCTTCATCATAGCTAAATACAGCATACTACAGTAGCTGCATGTTTCAATCCACCTGTACATAAAACATAGACAGTTACATCTTCATAATAGCTAAATACAGCATACTAGCTGCATGTTTCAATCCACCTGTACATAAAACATAGACAGTTAGTATCTTCATCATAGCTAAATACAGCATACTACAGTAGCTGCATGTTTCAATCCACCTGTACATAAAACATAGACAGTTAGTATCTTCATCATAGCTAAATACAGCATACTAGCTGCATGTTTCAATCCACCTGTACATAAAACATAGACAGTTAGTATCTTCATCATTGCTAAATACAGCATACTAGCTGCATGTTTCAATCCACCTGTACATAAAACATAGACAGTTAGTATCTTCATCATAGCTAAATACAGCAAACTAGCTGCATGTTTCAATCCACCTGTACATAAAGCAGACAGTTGGTATCTTCATCATAGCTAAATACAGCATACTAGCTACATGTTTCAATCCACCTGTATATAAAACAGACAGTTGGTATTTTCATCATAGCTAAATACAGCATACTAGCTGCATGTTTCAATCCACCTGTACATAAAACATAGACAGTTACATCTTCATAATAGCTAAATACAGCATACTAGCTGCATGTTTCAATCCACCTGTACATAAAACATAGACAGTTAGTATCTTCATCATAGCTAAATACAGCATACTACAGTAGCTGCATGTTTCAATCCACCTGTACATAAAACATAGACAGTTACATCTTCAAAATAGCTAAATACAACATACTAGCTGCATGTTTCAATCCACCTGTACATAAAACAAAGACAGTTGGTATCTTCATCATAGCTAAATACAGCATACTAGCTGCATGTTTCAATCCACCTGTATATAAAACAGACAGTTGGTATCTTCATCATAGCTAAATACAGCATACTAGCTGCATGTTTCAATCCACCTGTACATAAAACATAGACAGTTAGTATCTTCATCATAGCTAAATACAGCATACTAGTTGCATGTTTCAATCCACCTCTACATAAAACAGACAGTTGGTATCTTCATCATAGCTAAATACAGCATACTAGCTGCATGTTTCAATCCACCTCTACATAAAACAGACAGTTGGTATCTTAATCATAGCTAAATACAGCATACTAGCTGCATGTTTCAATCCACCTCTACATAAAACAGACAGTTGGTATCTTAATCATAGCTAAATACAGCATACTAGCTGCATGTTTAACAGTCCAGTTGATCTATACACAAGGCATAGACATGGAACAATTTGGAAATTTGGTAATTTATCTAGATGGAATGTTTGGTATATGCCAGTTTTTATTACAGGGAAAACACATATCTAAATAGGGCAAGGTTGATATAGTACTTACATTAAAGAATCATATGTTATAGTTTATCCCAAATCGCTAAAGATTCTTTAAAGTGATGCTACATGTATACTTTAAATGAAAATTGAATGAACTTCTTCATAAATTAATCTTTGAAAATATTCCTCTTCAAAAAGAAATCTTATTTCTGAAAAGCTCTAAAAATTTCAAACCCCAGAAACAATTTCAAATATTTTTTCAAATACACTTGAGCACTTAAATTTGTTAAAACAGTTTAGATAATTTTCAAAAGTACAGGGTAACCAATATGGATTAAAATGAGGTCACCCCCAAGAATATTATAGAGATAGTGGTTTGCTTCCAAAAATATGAAAAGTAGAAACATGAACAGTGCCACTTTATAGGATCAATCAGAACCATAAATAAAAGGGGATTTGATATACAGTGCATTTGTTCTATATTTATGCATGACCATGCATTATTCTTACCACCAAGTCCAAACAGAAAAAAGAGCCTTAATCCAATAATAAGTGATGTCAATGAGGAACTGCCTCCAAATTTCACTAGAAGTTCAACATAGAGAATGCTGAATCCAACTTTACTCCCACCTACAAGAAATCAAGAAGGACTACATAAACGTGTATATAATGAATGCATAATCATGTATAATGAAAGTCCAACATATAATGAAAGTACTATTACATACAATAAATGAACAAGTACCTGTAATGAAGGTACAATAACATACAATGATTGTACTTAAGAGTATTGTACCTGTATAGTACCCTTTGAAAATGGTGCCAAACAGTGTTTGTGGTACTGTATGGCACCGCTTTAGTTTACAGTACTGTACAGTACCACATATTCTGGTACCATACAGTGCCATAGTCAAAACAGTACTGCACAGTACTGTTACAGATCGGTTGTGTAGACCATATCCTTAATCACTGAAAGAGACCTAGAAAGGGTGCTAAGCTTTTATTGTCAGAGGCACACAAAAATGTTGAGCACCACTCAGCCAAATACCCTGGTGTTCATAACTGCAATGCTATCCAACTCCTGGAAACCATATGATCACATGCACAGTCACAAGTAAAAAGCATAGCACGTTTAATGATATAGACAGCGAGAAAAATATATGTAGGGTTTAATCTAAACAGTAAAGCAATCCCTAGCCTAGAAATAACAATAAATGTAATCAAATTAAGGTTGCAAAACAAAGCGCGATATGAGATGAAGATGTACAAAAAGTAGAAAACTCAAAGCAATTTTAAATAGACGCAATTTCCATATTACTCCAACTACATGTAGAAAACAACATGCTCACTACATGCAACAGTTACAAAGAATATATATATGCACAAGTGCCCAAGGGAATTGTTACATAACACAGCAAGGAAAAGAAAACATTTAAGATTACACCAATCATAAGGAAATAACAAAATATGATAAAAATGTGAACAAATACTGCCACTTGGTTATGCCTCTGAAATTTAGGTGTCAATTATTACCTGACACAGAATGAATAAGATTACGATTGAGTAGCACATAGTCAGCCTTATGCCTCAGTCACATTTGATCTATGGCAACTGTATGGCAGCTGTAGCTTCCCGAAATCAAGAGAAATGTGCAGCATAAAACATAAAGCAAATGTGACTGAGGCTACGTAAGGATTGGCAATATTATGATAATTGTATAATTTAAGCAATATCATGATTATTGTATAATTTAAGCAGTATCATGATTATTGTATAATTTGAGAAATATCATGTTAATTGAATAATTTAAGCTTGTATAAAGTGGTTCCTGTGTAAGTGGAAGAAACACCTTGGTTCCAAATAGTGTTCCACTTAGCAGTAGTTCGACTTAAAGAGGTTCATTAATATGATGCCAATGTATCATGGGACTGAAGTGTTTCTCATTCACAGAGGTTTTCAAGTTGACAGGTTTACTGTATTCAAATGAATGACAAAATCATACTGTGGTTGTGAATTTAGTACACACTTAAAATTTGACTAATTCATACTGTGGTTGTGAATTTAGTAGACAGTTAAAATTGGCTTAACTCTTTAAAAATGTACGTAATTTGCATAGCATTGACCCCAAGTTTTAATATATTTTGGCTAAAGCATTACGACTAAAGTCATTCTAACAAAGCAAAACAAAGCAATTTAACCCATCTGTGTAACAGGTACCTCAGTCAGCCTTTAAGCAGTACCAAATTCACAACCACTGGGCACTATGTGCATGTACTATGGGGAGCACCGAGCACCTTACCCCCGATGGTCATTGCTGCAAAAAGTCTAGCACCATGGATAAAAGAAATTACTGCTTTGTCCGTCTTGAAAATGTCACCAAATGTTAAATATAGAACACTAAAGGAACTTTTGTTACCCCCTGGAATCATGAAATTAGCACATTTAAATATTAAATATTAAAAGTAACATGGTAAAGATACATCCAGCTGAATGAGTTTTATTCGCACTAGTGTAAAGACTGCAAAGGTGATGCAACTGAAGTTAATCAGTTATTCACACTAGTGTAAAGACTGCAAAGGTGATGCAACTGAAGTTAATCCATTATTCACACTAGTGTAAAGACTGCAAAGGTGATGCAACTGAAGTAAATCAGCTATTCACACTAGTGTAAATACTGCAAAGGTGATGCAACTGAAGTTAATCAGTTATTCACACTAGTGTAAAGACTGCAAAGGTGATGCAACTGAAGTTAATCAGTTATTCACACTAGTGTAAAGACTGCAAAGGTGATGCAACTGAAGTTAATCAGTTATTCACACTAGTGTAAAGACTGCAAAGGTAATGCAACTGAAGTTAATCAGTTATTCACACTAGTGTAAAGACTGCAAAGGTGATGCAACTGAAGTTAATCAGTTATTCACACTAGTGTAAATACTGCAAAGGTGATGCAACTGAAGTTAATCCATTATTCACACTAGTGTAAAGACTGCAAAGGTGATGCAACTGAAGTAAATCAGCTATTCACACTAGTGTAAATACTGCAAAGGTGATGCAACTGAAGTTAATCAGTTATTCACACTAGTGTAAAGACTGCAAAGGTGATGCAACTGAAGTTAATCAGTTATTCACACTAGTGTAAAGACTGCAAAGGTGATGCAACTGAAGTTAATCAGCTATTCACACTAGTGTAAATACTGCAAAGGTGATGCAACTGAAGTTAATCAGTTATTCACACTAGTGTAAAGACTGCAAAGGGGATGCAACTGAAGTTAATCAGTTATTCACACTAGTGTAAAGACTGCAAAGGTGATGCAACTGAAGTTAATCAGTTATTCACACTAGTGTAAAGACTGCAAAGGTGATGCAACTGAAGTTAATCAGTTATTCACACTAGTGTAAAGACTGCAAAGGTGATGCAACTGAAGTTAATCAGTTATTCGCACTAGTGTAAAGACTGCAAAGGTGATGCAACTGAAGTTAATCAGTTATTCACACTAGTGTAAAGACTGCAAAGGTGATGCAACTGAAGTTAATCAGTTATTCACACTAGTGTAAAGACTGCAAAGGTAATGCAACTGAAGTTAATCAGTTATTCACACTAGTGTAAAGACTGCAAAGGTGATGCAACTGAAGTTAATCAGTTATTCACACTAGTGTAAATACTGCAAAGGTGATGCAACTGAAGTTAATCCATTATTCACACTAGTGTAAAGACTGCAAAGGTGATGCAACTGAAGTAAATCAGCTATTCACACTAGTGTAAATACTGCAAAGGTGATGCAACTGAAGTTAATCAGTTATTCACACTAGTGTAAAGACTGCAAAGGTGATGCAACTGAAGTTAATCAGTTATTCACACTAGTGTAAAGACTGCAAAGGTGATGCAACTGAAGTTAATCAGCTATTCACACTAGTGTAAATACTGCAAAGGTGATGCAACTGAAGTTAATCAGTTATTCACACTAGTGTAAAGACTGCAAAGGGGATGCAACTGAAGTTAATCAGTTATTCACACTAGTGTAAAGACTGCAAAGGTGATGCAACTGAAGTTAATCAGTTATTCACACTAGTGTAAAGACTGCAAAGGTGATGCAACTGAAGTTAATCAGTTATTCACACTAGTGTAAAGACTGCAAAGGTGATGCAACTGAAGTTAATCAGTTATTCGCACTAGTGTAAAGACTGCAAAGGTAATGCAACTGAAGTTAATCAGTTATTCACACTAGTGTAAAGACTGCAAAGGTGATGCAACTGAAGTTAATCAGTTATTCACACTAGTGTAAAGACTGCAAAGGTGATGCAACTGAAGTTAATCAGCTATTCACACTAGTGTAAATACTGCAAAGGTGATGCAACTGAAGTTAATCAGTTATTCACATTAGTGTAAAGACTGCAAAAGTGATGCAACTGAAGTTAATCAGTATTCACACTAGTGTAAAGACTGCAAATGTGATGCAACTGAAGTTAATCAGTTATTCACACTAGTGTAAAGACTGCAAAGGTGATGCAACTGAAGTTAATCAGTTATTCACACTAGTGTAAAGACTGCAAAGGTGATGCAACTGAAGTTAATCAGTTATTCACACTAGTGTAAAGACTGCAAAGGTGATGCAACTGAAGTTAATCAGTTATTCACACTGGTGTAAAGACTGCAAAGGTGATGCAACTGAAGTTAATCAGTTATTCACACTAGTGTAAAGACTGCAAAGGTGATGCAACTGAAGTTAATCAGTTATTCACACTAGTGTAAAGACTGCAAAGGTGATGCAACTGAAGTTAATCAGTTATTCACACTAGTGTAAAGACTGCAAAGGTAATGCAACTGAAGTTAATCAGTTATTCACACTAGTGTAAAGACTGCAAAGGTGATGCAACTGAAGTTAATCAGTTATTCACACTAGTGTAAAGACTGCAAAGGTGATGCAACTGAAGTTAATCAGTTATTCACACTAGTGTAAATACTGCAAAGGTGATGCAACTGAAGTTAATCAGTTATTCACACTAGTGTAAAGACTGCAAAGGTGATGCAACTGAAGTTAATCAGTTATTCACACTAGTGTAAATACTGCAAAGGTGATGCAACTGAAGTTAATCAGTTATTCACTCTGGTGTAAAGACTGCAAAGGTGATGCAACTGAAGTTAATCAGTTATTCACACTAGTGTAAAGACTGCAAAGGTGATGCAACTGAAGTTAATCAGTTATTCACACTAGTGTAAAGACTGCAAAGGTCATGCAACTGAAGTTAATCAGTTATTCACACTAGTGTAAAGACTGCAAAGGTGATGCAACTGAAGTTAATCAGTTATTCACACTAGTGTAAAGACTGCAAAGGTGATGCAACTGAAGTTAATCAGTTATTCACACTAGTGTAAAGACTGCAAAGGTAATGCAACTGAAGTTAATCAGTTATTCACACTAGTGTAAAGACTGCAAAGGTGATGCAACTGAAGTTAATCAAGTTATTCGCACTAGTGTAAAGACTGCAAAGGTGATGCAACTGAAGTTAATTCCAAAACATGAAAAAGTGCCACAACCTGGTAATTTATTGGAGATGCTTACAAAAGACTAACAATTCTCACAAATGCCAACCAACGAACACTGATCACAAAAAGGACCTCATAATTAGTCACCACTGTCAAGTGCTCTTAAATAAAGCAATTATTAGAACATGTACGAGTATATGCATTTGATACATTTTCAAATTCTGGAACTAAAATCAATTTGTGAGCATCATAGTAGAAAGTGGACTCATTAAAATGTATACTTGTTATCTCTGAAATATAGCTTTTAATAAAAGAAATTCCAAACATTAAGATATTGGAGAATTCAAAGCAGTGGTATCATATGCTTAGTGGACTCAGCAGATTAAGTTGTAGTAATTCATTCAGAGTATTGAGTTATGTATAAGGAGATGTTCCAGCTTATGTAATAACAATCTATTACATGTGAATTCAGATCCCTGCACATGGTATATCCATGTGTTTACTAATCTACTAATTATGTTATCTCCCTCTATCAGGAGGATGAATGAATATTGATCAGAACTACTATCTGCTGATAGATATTATATTTACGCTAAAGATTATTCAATTATTTACCACTTTAAATCAAGAAAGTTTCAAGTACATGTATTGCAAAATAAATTTACACAATTAATACTTGAACTTGAAACCCATGAGTACACATACAGTAGTAAAAATATGAAATACTAAAACTTATGAAATAGATGAAAAGATATAAGGGGCTTCTGCATTTAAACAATTAGGATAATTAAAATTAATCATCTTGTATTTCCATGAGATAGTATGGTCAAAACTAATAATAAGTTTGCCTACCTAACAGAACATGCATGAGAGCACAGCCAATCACAACCATCCAACCCCAGCCACCATCAGGCGCTGCAACCTTCTCTTCATTTCCATCATCATCATCACTATCATTGTCCTCTTTAAGCATTACAGCCTCCTTTGGGTTAATAGCTTCTCTTGAGTTTACAACATTTATAGCTGCAGTTGTTGCTACCGCTGAAATAAATTAAATGTTGAACCTTTTACACAGGAGCATCCAAACTGCATATATTTTTCAAAAGTATAGAAAAGATTCACAAAGGCTTTATTTAACATTAAGTGACATGAAAAGAAGTAAAAAATCACTTCTTTTATTTCCATGGACTTTATCCTGTTTATTTCCAAAACTGGACAAAATGTCAAAATAATTCATCTTTTACAAATTCCCAAAATCACACACAACTGAACACTTACTTGAATGCATGCTTGAATCATTTCTTTCTCTGGTGATGTCCTCTTTACTGTTAGTTGTATTCATGCTGATTTTTTATGATGTCCTTGAACCAAAACACAATATTTAAATGCCTGCTCCATAAATCTCTGAATGTCACATACAATGGTTGACAATATATAAATATATAATGACAGGTAAGGTTATCTAAGTAACTTGCTAGGGGTGGGCCATTGATTTCAAGGGGCCTATCATTTTCTGAGTTCATTCCTCTTCTGGGAAATAAAATACAGTGTACTAGGCTTTTAGACAGAGACAGAGGATACCCTCTATGTTAGTGGGTTTTATTAAGATTTTGAAAACAGGTAAAATAAATAAATGAAAACAACAAGCAAATTCATAGCAAATTTCATGGATTTACAGTTGGAAAATTCCTTCAAACAGCACTGGAAAAAATGCATGTTTCCTGTAGCTGCTGAAACTCTTGATATACTGTAGTCGTACTTGAATCTTGGTTATAACACTACTGACAAGCGGGAGCCCTCCCTACCCTGAATCTAATGGACCTCCCAAAATGTTGCAATCAATTCGAGCTAGGCTACAATCTACAACCGCTCAAGGTATTTCATTGCACAATCTACAAGGTACTTCATTGCATATTTATTAAGTTTATTCAGTAATTCATACCCAATGATGTGCAAACAATCTACATTGTCATATGTCCTAATACACTGTACATTGGGTATACATAACTGTCAAGGTAAACATACCTCAACAAAGGGACTCTGTGGGGACCATGTCAAGGTGAAGCAACATCTAGATTTAACAGTTTATGCAAGTTTTGAACAACATGTATACATGTATAGTGTATCTGATTTTTTGTACTTGACTCACCCAGAGCACTCTTCCAAGAAAACTGCAGATCAAGCTTTCAATTCCAGGAAGAGTGTCAAGACTAATAAAAGTTAAAATATCAAGATGCCAGTACATATCATCAGTTTCACCAGCAGGTGGCTATTTCAGGGCAGATAACATGGCAGAGTTTTAGAAAGTTCCCTTAAAGGATTTAGTGCACTTTCCATTATGATTTCCCCATGAATAAAATGAATCATTTTTAGGTGTAACATGAAGTATATAATGTCACATAATACTAAAATATTTAAGCGTCTGGATCCAAATGGGCTGAGGTTGAGGTCATTAAGTTCAGCAAGGATGTTTTGACTTGACATTAGATGTGTTCTATTGACTTAACATGTGGATATCATCAGATTCCAATGGAGACCATTGGTTTCTATTGATTTTCACAAAAATATCTAAAATACATTATGACCGGAATCGATTGCAAATTAAATAATTTCACAATGTGACACAAATGGTATATCACATCAGATGTGCAAATATGAAGTTTGCAATTCAGGTCAGATTCAGGTCATACTTCAAATTAAAAGATTATACAAAAATGATATGCCTGGACTAAATAATTAATATCTCAATAACTACTGAATGAATCTGGATAAAATTTTCACAAAGGGAAGATACACTAGCGTGGCTCATGAGAAAAATGTTCTCATGAATTTTTTTTGTACATTAACACAACTGGGCATAAATATTCCATGAATACTCCTCCAGAATCCGCCGTTTCGCCCCTCGGGAGATTCAACGTCTGGTCAGAATCCAAAACTGAATTTGCAGCGATCGAATGTTCTTGTTTTCAGTTCAGAAAATATTCTAGTTTCTATTTTCGATGACCATTATCGGCTTCCAAGAGCCTAAAGAGCTCGAAATCACAATCCATTTCCTCCACATTTTCGTTGTGATCGTATTTGGCCGTCATTTTGTACGATTTGTTCACTAAAAACGACTTAAACACTGTTTAAATTGTTGAATTGAGAAATATTTTTCGAAACATCGCCATTTCTAGGTCAACAGGAAGTCACCTACTAAGGACTGAATAAATCGGGCAGTCTAATTGGATCATAAGAACGGCGGGAAAAAGTAAAGTTTTCAAAAGTTAGATATGTGTCGTCCGGATTCGGAAGCAACTTTTACAATTATGAAATGCCATACAACTTTGTAAATCCAAAGATTATACTGTTATATTTCATTAATCAATAACATTATTGGATAAGATGTAGGGATGCGTAGGATGCAAATGGATTTTGACAAAGACTTCCTGGTTTGGCATACCTGTACACTTTATGATTGAATATTGGCCCTAATTAGTGGTCCATTCATCAATACAGTGCTGTATATATGTCAACAAGATACTAGTTAACATATAAATGTAATAATAAAAGCAGTATATTCATTTTGAAAAATCAGATGAATTATTTTTTGTTCATGGGGAGATCATAATGATGAGTGTACTAGATCCTTTGAGTAGTCATCAGCTTTAGTGATTCAATTTTCATATTACAGGGGTTGTTCTCTTTGGCCCAAAAGAACTTGTTAAGTGCTAAGAATGGTGAAAAACTGCATGATTTTCGAAGAATTTTTGGCCAGCCCCTACCCCCACCCAAATGCATCACCTTTTGAGATTTAATCTTTCTAGGACTTAACATTCATGAAGACTTACATATACAGTAAAGGAAATGACCATATTAAACATTTTCAAAGCTAGTTTGCCTAATCAATAGTTAGGTGAGATTTGTTGTAATTGTCTGTTTTGCCATCAAGGACTTGTTAACATGAGCCCCAAATCATAGATGAAACCATGTGTAAACTGTAACATCTGTATATACACCCCAGCTTATCAACCATGAAATCAAAACAAGCAACACATAGAGAATAGCTGACCAACCAAACAACAAAGAATCCAAGAGCCTAATCAACCACCCAAACAACAAAGAAGCAACCAAGCAAAGAACAAAGCAACCAAGAATCTACAACAAAGAAGTAACCAAGCAAACAACAAAGCAATCAACAACCTAACCAAACAAAAAAGAAGCAACCAAACAAACAACAAAGCAACCAACAGCCTAACCAACCAAGCAAACAACAAAGAAGTAACCAGGCAAATGTAACAACTGAGGGTCACAGTTGCCTAGCCGTGACGTTACAAGAAATTAGAAGATGTTAAATTAAATAACATATGTGGTAGAGTGTTGCCTGGACTAGGGAGTATGAATAATTACCTACAATGCAATACTCGAAGAGAACATCTTGATACATGTACCTCTTATTTTTATTGGTCTTTTTTGTTTCCTTTTACATGAGATTGAACATATTTTATGCTTTAATCATATTGAAAATTGATTTTTATTCAATATAATACTAAACCATATACCGTATGCATTTATCTAATACTTTTTGAAACATTACCATAAAAAGGGAAGCATGGCATTGCTCATTTTGAAGGTCTCATGTTATTACACAGAGTTGCATGCCCTTCTAATTGAAAGCCCATGGATTTTATAACCTCAGAATACTGCCTTCAGTGTCGTGTTTGGCTGAGTTCCACAATGTAACCTAGCAGGATGGATGAAATAGAACAAACTGGTAAGTAGACACATGGTAACATTTCATTAATTCGTTATTTTAACCATGTGAACTGGTCACCAGAATAAGCGTTTTGATTCTATAGAAAGCACAGACACGGGAACAAGAGTTCATCCCCCTCCCACTCACTATGTATTAGGTAGAAAAAAGACAGGCTCCTATCTCGGGAAATATACGCCTCTACTCTAATTGCTCATATCTCCGTCACTGAGTTGTGTCATGCATTATATTTTGTCTCAATGCAAGGTGAAGACATTAAATCGTATTTATGGTAACTCACCAATTCTTAAATCAGCATAATTGCGCGGATAACATTGGATATGGGACGAAAAAACGTTCACTTTTGAAATCACGACACCTCGACGGCCATTAACTGCGACCTCTATAATATCCACAACGAGTGTCTCATTTTTTTAGGAATTGTATTTTTATAATTACGATTAAAAATCTCAATTCTAGTATTTAGATATATTTGTGGTGATGCTATGAAGTTATTGTAGTATTCTTGGTATATTTTAAATAGTATATCGTATAATATTAGCTTTTTTTGATTTTTACTAAAAAAA